AGGAAGAAATTTCATCATCCAGTTTTCTTCCCAGAAAGCAAATTTATCTAAAAGAGGGCGAAAGATACCAATTAAAAGGACATTCAAACTCATAAGTCATAAATAAACTGACAACGCCATGGCTTAAAAAGAACAAAGACAAACAGTACACAAAATACAACATAGAAAACGAAAGACTGAGCAACAGGAACCCCGCCAAAAACTGGGGGTGATCTCAGCTGCTCCGGAAATGTAAGCGGAAATGTAATGCCACATGTGGCACTCGTCGTGTTGCCGGTAATAAGTCTAATTCGGTAGGTCACATTCGGGGAGAGGGGGACGGGATTGTAGTTACGACAATTGGAACATATCCGCTATCATCTGTGAAAAGGATATTCAATAACGGTCAACCAACTCGTGATGGCGCCCTTAAAATTTAAGAAGGGATAACTTCAACTTCACCACTTGGAACTCTTGGTTTAATAGCTTCCTTGTGAGCAGCAACCCTCTATCAAAGAAATAATGATGGGAAATACAATAAATCTTCCTAAAGGGTATTTCTCTCAACTGTTACGGTGATGTATGCAACGGTGTCATCTTCAAAGAGCCTTACAGTCAATTAAATGTTCTCTGGCATGCAATTTATATAGAAGAGGCTGGGTTCTAGCCTAGAACAGATCCTTGTGGAACCCCATCTACTACATCGATGTAATCAGATGATTCCTTTTCTATCAGTAATGGCTGACCTCTTTCAGAAAGAATTAAAGCTCTTAATCCAGTTGTTTGTTTTCCTTGTCATTTCATAGGTTGAAGCTTGTAGATTATAAGACTGACCTTGTCAAATGCTTTTGAAAAGTCTATGATCAGGCAGTCGGTTTGTTGGCCATTGTCAAGGTTTTTGGAGATAGCATCAATACATTCTTTTACTAGTAGCTAAGTTTCGCATGATAATTTCTTCCTAAATCCATGTTGCAGATCATACACAATGGTGTTTCTATCTGCATGACAAATTATATTAACTATGTATTCTGTTATTTTGCAACATAAGCAGGTTTAACTTAATGATATTGGTCTGTAGTTAAGGTTCATCAAAAGGAATTGAAAAAAATAGCAGTGTTTACGCCACAAAATCTACGCAGAGTACAGCCAAATTGATGCATCTAGGAAAGTTTTAAAGCATGGCTATACCTAGATATATAAAAGTTATATGTAGTTTGTAGTATGTTTCAGAAAATAAAAAAAAAATAACCTGGATTTTGATGTGCATTTTTCCCAAGTCTGCAGAAGATAGCAAAAATAAACTAACACATGAGTTTCATTTGATGCGGTCCACTCAGTTACACAGTTTAAATCACATATTGTTTGCAGATGTCTATTATCACAACTTACAACATCTATTTTATGAGGGCAGCTTCTCAAACCTCTTTCCAAACTTATTTTATTTTGGAACCTTCTGCAGGAATGAAAAAAACGAAGAGCAAAATCCAGTTAAGTTTTTAATATTTTGAAGCTTAAAATGCATGTATGTTTTATATATCTAGGTCCAGCCATGCTACAACACTTTTCCAGGAACAAAGGTTTGTCTGTACTCTGAGTAAAATTTGTTGTGTAAATACGGCCATATTTGTTAAAAGGTTATTATGAACCTTAATTGGTTCAAACTCCCCCCCCCCTTTTTTTAATACGTTTGTTGTTTTCCACGATGTTGGTAGTACCCATATGTCATAAGATCTTCTACAGAGAAGTTGTATTATAATGAATTACAGTTCTTTTCAGAGGGAAGATTTTATCTGGACCTGCATCTTTATGTGGATTGAGACCATCTAGGAGCTTCTCAATTCTTTCAAGTATGATGGATACATTAGGTGCTCAGTTACCTTGACCAGACATGTTGCATCTTGTCTGGAATTCTGTATCATTAGTGTCTCTTTTACTTGAAAATGCTTGTTGGAACTGTGCATTTGAGAATTTTAGTTTTGTCAGTTGAGTCATCGTGTAGTAATCCTACTGATTTTAGTCGGTGGTATACTTCTCCATCTGACGGTTTGTGATTGATGTAGGTCCAAAATCGTTTCATGCAGTCAGAACTTCTGTCTGATTCACTACTTTGTGTCTTTATATGAAGCATCATCTCTTTTATCTCCATGTGTTTTTACTTCATTTTATATGCTCTGTCCCTTCGTCTAATTAACCTTCTCAGGGCAGTCTTGGTTGATTTATATCTATTAACGCTATCTTCTAGTGATCTTACAAATAGATTCAATACGTAATTTACAGAGGAATTGTTATCATAAAGTGTGTTTGATGTAAAAACAAAGTTCTTGGCATCTGTTGTAATTTTGCTGGCATTCTGTTCACATCAGTATAAACAATGTTGTGATCAGACAAGCAAGGTATTTTGTTCTCCCGAAGCTACCCAGGTAATGTTTAATAATTAGGTCTAATGTGTTTGGTCCTCTCGTAGGTTAATCCACCATTTGAGTTAAGCCATGGTCATCCAGTATGTTGGTGAATTTGTGTTGCACAAAATCATAAAGTTTATTACATTTAATATTTCCAATTTATATGAGACATGGGAAATGTATAAAGCTTTCTTTTCTTATAGTCTTTGCATTAGAAACTAATATTCATTTCTTGTTTATGGACAATCACTGTAGCAAGTTTCCTATAGAGATAACATGTAAGTGGTTACCTCTATCTGGTCTTCAAATTAATAAATCTTGTCCATGCCTTAAATGCATGGTAACGAGTAAAATGATAATAATATGTCATAACAATAAATAGAAATAAATTATTAAGATCTCTTCATGTTCTTTATTAAACCAATATAAGTGTTTTGATTTTGGACCTTAAAACCTACTACATAAAATGCAACTGAAAACAATGAGCAATACATAGCTCTTATATACATCAATGGGGATGTCTAATCATACATATAAAAAAAAAGATTCCTGTTTTTTACAGAACCATCAAATAAACACATCTGAAACTGTTAACATGATTCCCTGATTTTTTTCAACAAACTAAATAAGAAAGTATCACTATTGTTTTCCCTATAAAAATTTGGAAATTTTGTTTTCCCTGTAAAAAACCTGAAATGTTTGTCTCATTGACTTTTCATATCATTGTTATATATGGTTATTTTTTTTAATGTACCAGTGGGACATCTGTACTATAAAACTTATTTTCTCTAACTGTTTTTGTTAAAGTTTTAAAAGAAAGTAAAAATGCTCTACTTATTATTTTTGAGTAATGTTTTGCCATCTTGCAAGCTATTAAGAATTCAATTTTATGTATAAATCATCCGAGTTTATTACATTTAATATTTTTATATCTTATATGAGACAAAGGACATTTATTCAAACTTGTTGTATGTAGTTAGTCTGTATAATTGTCTCATATTGTAATTTTCTTGTAGTCTCTAATCTTTTCTGAAATCTCATAGGTGTAAATATTTCCTGTAGTTTAAGAAGGTGGTTGTTTATTATTTTGTTGTTGTCGAGTGGTATGCAAAAACTTTGTTTATAAATGTATAGTGTCAGTGAACAAAACATTGTAGGTCACCAATGGCAGACATACTAAATATATTGAGATATATTTATTTACCTATCCCAAAGAGCAAAGTTTCATAATGTAAGCCTTCCATTGATGAAATGAAAAGTTTAATGATCACAACAACCTGTGTTTTATAGCAAATTATTTTCTGTGTGTATTGATGAGCAGTCCTGAAGTTAAATATTTAGTTCAAGTAAAACTTCTGATAAAGCAAATCTCAATTAAAGTCAAGACAGCAACCCACATATTTGAGCATTGTACACCAATTACCAGCTCCAAACACAACTAAATCAAATTTTCATAAGGGATATCTGTGTGTTAACCAAAACATAATCCTTGCAAGTCACACTGGCTTAAAGCAGGAAGATATGTTAGAATAATAATTTTATTATAAACAATCAATCAGTTTTGGCCCTTGAGAAACACTCAGCATACAAAATAAAATTTTGAGTTCCTGCCTGAGCAAGTCAGCTTGCAACCTTCAGTGTGAGGAAGAACCTGCCTGCCCGACAATGCGCCAGCCAGGAAGTGGAGTGTCTCCACAGAGAGGATGAGAATAGACATCTCATCTGCAGCCGAGTTGTGCAAGGTCTGCATCAGGGGATAGCCCATGTGGTGCTATTACAAGTAGTAAGTAGCAGGGTCTATCAAACTGGCGCTGGAATAATTTTGATCAAATTTGTCCCCGAAATGCTTGGGGATGAATGAAATTTTAGAAATTACCAGTGATAAAATTCCATCAAGGAAAAATAATATGAAAAGAAAAATAATATATATCACTAGTAAAATTGCTGAAATGTTTCCCTTGTCATGAAACATTATTGAAGGTGTTAGGAAGGTGGACGGTGGGTGGTAAATTGAATAATAGCACTGTAAACTATATCAACTAGTCAGACTGCTATGAACCTAGAAAGTGATTATACAAAGACCATGCATATGGCTTCACACACAGATTGGGTACATCAATCATACCATGGGAGGAGACTGACCTCACTTGGCCTTCAGAATGATTTACTAATTGCTGTGCGATAAATTTTATAAGATCTGTTATCATAATCTGCATTTCCTCACAAAGAGTAATTGTTTGTGACATGTTTCTGATTAGGAAAAGATTAATGTTTGTCCTGGTGAGACTCCATAACCTCAAAGTGTCAAATACCATAGAAATTATTCTCAAGCTAAAATAGGTGGTCAATGATGTTAAATGTATCAATGATGTCAGCATCTTTCACCAGATATTAATTATATGCTTGTTTGTATAAACAAAACTTACATTACATATAAGTCAAAATAAATATAACTTTGTCTGCTTACAGCCTTCACATTGCAAAGCATGTTCATTTCACTGTAGTAAGTTACCAATAGAGAAAGTATTTTAGTCGTAACCTCTATCTTGTATTAAAATTAATAAATCTTTTCTGTGACTCTGAGGCATGGTTACTAGCAAATTGATAATAAGAAAAATCTTGTAACTAATATAATGTAATATGAAATGACTTCCTTTTTCTATTTAATGCAACTAGCTATGGTTATATAAAATACTTCATGGTTAAGTTTCATAATTCTAATCATAACCTGTGCATGTACTGCTCATCTGGTGAAAAAATAGTCAAGTCTACCAATGAGGACTTTCAAAATATTTCACATTGACCTGTACGCAATTCTGCATTGAACAATTAAACCCGATGTTTTTGAAAATTAATGTAACTGCAGAAACTAAATAAATAAAATTTAAATTTTTGAAATGTGTACTTCAGTTGCAGTAATTTCTTAATAAAAAAAATGCTGAAAAAAATATACAAATATTTTACTTTTCATATTTGGTAAATGCTTTGCAGTACAACTGCACACTTATTGAAAAAATATACAAATATGTCACTATCCATATTTTTTATAATTGCTTATATCCATTTCATTTGAACTTTGGTGGATAGTTGTCTCATTGGCAATCATACCACATCTCCTTATTTCTATAAAGATGATTGTTTTTAAACATGGAATTTATAATGCTTTCATAAATATATGATATAAACACAAGTAATGAAAATAACAATGGAAGACATATGTACTTTATGATTTCTGAGTCAAACAAGTCATAATAATATCTATTACAAAAAAAGTTACTTTTACAAGTTAGGAAAGCCTTTAAAATCTTGACACTTATATATTATACAAGTTATTTCTTCAGTCATTCCTTGATTGATCATAAGTGAAATTTTTCAGTGTTATTTTAGTACTTGTTATATGTAAATATTTGATTTTCACTTCAGACATTATTATAAATAAAACATTTGACTGATACATTAAGATATAGGAAAACTTTTCTGTTCTTTCATCTTATTGTTTTTCTGGTTTAAAGAAAACTTATAAGTAAATTTTGAAATTTTTAGCCATTCAAAAGTCCTTTACTCTAAATAAATTTCAAAAGCAGGAGTTTGACTCTTGACATTATAACAACTTGAGTAGAAAAATCCTCAAGTGTCTTTTAAATTCAGATTATATTTTTTTTACATATCTTACTTATTTAACATAAACATCATTTTCAGGCTATGATTTGTCCAATTAAACCACTCTTAATGAGACATTGATCAATACTGAGTACATGTTATTTATCCTAAACTTGATATAAAAATTCGTAAGGGGTACTGCGGAACCCTGTGTCTCGCCTGTGATTGCTGCTGTCATTGTAAAAGTGTAATGTTGACTTAAAACGTGAGTCTATTTATCAGTAATATACAGAATTTAAAAAAAAAATTCAAACTTTTCCTTTAGATGCTATTTCATGGTCTTGAAGATTAGCTTCTGTCCAAGTTTCATAACAATCCATGGAGGTTTACAAATTTAGCATGTCAAAAAAGTTTAATCCCAGACTGTCTGTGAATGTTAACTATAAAAAACAAAGTCCATCTATCAGAAAAATACTGAAAATGAAAAAAATGTGTTTTTCAAAAGTTTGCTACTGCAAAAATTTCATAAAATTCTATGAAGGTTTGATAAAGTAACTGATGTCTTTAAAAATTTAACAACAGACTGAACCTAAATATTGATGATGCCAACAGAATCTAAGACTGCTGTGTCTCGCTTTCCCCGACATAAATAAAACATTATTCTGAAGTGAAAATTCTTGGACCTTTTATAGCTTACTATATACAGATTGTGTTTTGCTCATGGTATACTGACCTGTAGTTGGTTTTATCTTTTGAAATGCTTAATATTTTGTCATGCTGAGACCTTTTATAGATTACTTAAGGTGGTATTGGTTTTGCTCATGGTATAGTGACCTGTAGTTGGTTTTATCCTTGAATTTTTTCTTATTTTGTCATGCCAAGACCTTTTATAGCTTAATTAAGGTGGTATGGTGACTGTCACCATGCCCCATAAATGTTCACATCCTTGTCATATGGTCTTTATATATATTGACAATCATACCACATCTACTTTTATTTACTAGTCATTACTATAAAACAAATATAATATAAGTTTAAGATATTCAAGAGTTTCAGTGTTCAGGAATGTTTTACTTCATGAAAATACGTGTACATATGTACTTGGAAAAGAGCAGCATTCATTTTTTTTATACTTTCACTAGTCCTAACAAATACCTTAAATAAATATTTCACAGAATCTTATTTTGAAACCAAGAATGGCACTTTCACAAATAACAATTAACTTAACTTATAGTCACCTGAACATCAACGCTTCAATATGTACATTAAGGGCCATACAAAATATATATACACATATATATTTTCTTATATAGTGCATATATATATATATATGCATGTACAAAAAATTGTTAGTGTTTTATAAAAGATATTTCAAAAGATGAAAATGTTCTAGGTGAAAAAAAATCAAATGAAGGAATAAATTAAAGGTAAAAGCAATCATTGATGTTTTTTTTTGTTTGTTTCAATTTGAAAATTGATGTAAGTGTATTTTTGACATCTTGTTTTTCTAGATTCTCAACATATAACTCAACAGGATTGAATTAACAAAAAAAATTAAAATCACAATCTTCCCTATAAAATTATATTTTTTAAATTCCAAAATACATAATACATAAAAAGGATAACAGAAATATTGAACAGACCTCAACAACATGCTTGACTCAATGGCTAAATTAACAGTACAACAGACCTCAACAACATGCTTGACTCATTGGTTAAATTAACAGTACAACAGACCTCAACAACATGCTTGACTCATTGGCTAAATTAACAGTACAACAGACCTCAACAACATGCTTGACTCATTGGTTAAATTAACAGTACAACAGACCTCAACAACATGCTTGACTTAATGGTTAAATCAACAGATTTATAATTTAAGAACATTGGAAAATATATTTGGTCTTATAAAATTCATGGTAAGTTGAACATGAAGCTAATAAAACTTTTTAGAGGGATTTATAAAATAAATTACTGATAGAAATTACAAACCTTACACTCCAAATTTCTTGACTTTAAAAGATAACAACTGGTAGAGATCTTTTAAAACAAGATGCATTAAATAAAAAGAATAATTGGAATCTTTAATGTATAAAAAAATATTCAAACAGACTAGAAATATAGAAAAAAAAATATATATAAAATGCTTCAAAATCTAATCAGATTAATACCAGTAATATTATTTGTGAATGCGAATAATTTGTTCTCAATATAAGGAAGAGTAATGCATGATAAAATTTCATGGTAGTCATGCCAGTAATAACAAAATACACCATACAGATATTGAAAAAAAAATGTAGATAACCTTTTACTCTAAATGTATTAAAATTATTGGTTAAACTTGACAGGAATGAAATATCCACATCCTCATGAGCTCCTAGTATAACATTCCTGTATTTTCTGTAAATTACCCCCATGTGATCATGCTCTTCATTCAGAGTCTTAAGTTACAGATGATAACTTGTGTCTTTTGTATATAAAAAGACTGCCCTATTCTATTTAAAATGATCATATAGATGGCCTACAAGTTACTAACAACAATCTGATCACTTGTCCACAACTTATATTTGGCACATCAACAAATATGTTTAAACACAGCCATTCATTAAATAATAAATAAAAATATTTATAGAAACAAATTCATGAGATTATAATATTATGAGATTATTTCATACTGAGCCAAGGTAGATGTATAAAAACTTCTTCTTCAGGTAAATAATCCAAGCACATATCTGTTTCATCAACATCATAATATATGTAACAACAGAAACAATTAATTTGCAAAAAAAGAGTACAACATTACTGCACAAAAAACAAAATTTAAAACCAAACAAACAAAGAAGGAATAAAAATTTAGTAAATAAATATATGAAATAGATTTGTTTGTTAGCCTAGGAAGCCCAACTAAAACAGATCTAGATGTTACAATACTAACACAAGGACACTCAGTTCAAAGCTGTAGACGAACTGGCCAAAATAAAATGTATGATATACGATCTAAATATGTAAGAACAGTGTTTGGCAATGTATCAAATTGAAGTGGTTAAAATATATATAAAAAAATAAAAGTTTAAGGTCAAGTTTGAAAATAATCAAACTGTTATAAAAGTATATAGTAATGTAAAAAGGAAATGTGACCTTGCAATGTCATCATGTGAACTAAACAAAGAATGACAAAATCAAATTAAGAATGAAAGGCAGGTGATTCAAATGTCATTAATTGATAATTTATTATGTTAAATGATCGTAGTGTTGAACTATCACTGTTATACCATTCAGAGTTTTTGAAAAATACGCTTCATCGAAATCAACAAAAGCTAGACAGATGTATAAAAACAGATGGAGAAGTGTAAATCTATTTGACATAGCCTTATTTGTGGCAAGGCATAAAATTTACTTCTTCCATAGTTTCAAACAAAACTGGACAAGTCATTTGTAGATATAAGAACAAACAGGGTTGTTGATAGGTTTGTGTAGAGAGTGCTTCAAACAGTGATACTATGATCTTTGATAAGGCTTAAACCAAAACCACCATTTTTCTGATCTGACTTATTTCTTTACGAAGCTGATCCTCAAGTATTTTTCTTTTTCCTTCCATTACTGTTTTCATATTACTTATACTCTCATGCACTGTAGCAAACCCTTCACGAACTTCCCGTTTCAATTTTGAAAATTCTTCTTGTTGATTACGAATACTGAAGTCCAATTTAGCCATCAACTTATTTTCAATATCCTGAAATAAAAGAAAAAAATTATAAATATCTTGATGCTCAGTGTTTGGTATTATTCAAGGCCAATTATAATATCTTTGTATTTATAAAAATTGTGTTTTCCTATTTCACCTTACTGTAAATTATATTAAAAATGTAAGCATTTTACATCAAAAGCTGGCTAAAATGCAAAAGTCTTAGCTGATTTGTCTTCTAAACCTCGCTCATCAACAGCAGGTTCTTGCAAGGGTTGTCCGACATGCCAAAATTCTGCATATCTTGACTTTTCAGAGATTCGGGGAAGCCTTACACTAAATAAGTTGCAAAATTGCAAATTTACATGTTATACGTATCTCCTACTGTTACGGTATTTATGTGATATGCAATGTGTTTTGAAAGAGAGAAAAGACATTCATAAAAGGGGGAGGGGGTTAAACTTCAAAGGTTTCACATTACAAGATAAAACAATAAGTACATGTAAATGTTGATTGTCCATTTTGATCATGTGTCTGTCTTAACAAATCATAGGTATAACAAACAGCATTTATTACTACAGTTACCAGTAAGTAGACACAACTTTTATAAATAAACATCCTTATAAATAAACACTGAGACTATTGTTAATTAACATAAGTATTATAACATGAGTGCACACACTGAAATGTCTCGCCTGCTTTACTATTCATGATTTATTTTATGTTGATAGTCCTAAAAATAAAGTTTTACTATAAGTATCATATAAACTAGACTGTATCAATGATCCATGGAAATGAGGTCAAGGTCATATAAACTAAGCCAGACAAACATGCCAGATGATACATGCCAGACAGACATGTAAACCTTACAATCATTCCATGCATCAAATATAGTTGACTTTATTGCTTAAAGTATCTGAGCTAAAGTCTTTACCAGGAAAACTTAAATTAACCAATGAACCATGAGAGTGAGATCAAGAACAGATGATACCTGCCAGACAGACATGTACACCTTACAATCATTTCATACATCAAATATAGTTGACCTATTGCTTATAGTATTTGAAAACAGACCAAAACACAAAAAAATATCATTGACCAAGGAACCTGTAATGAGATCAAGGTAAGATGAAACCTACCAGACTGACATGCAGCCCTTACAATCATTCCATACACCACATATAGTTGACCTACTGCTTATAGTATATAGTTATCCTTTTACTCATAAAAAGTGAGAAATTCACATGAAAAAAAATTATGATTTTTTTTCAAGCAGTAGCTGAACCATAAAAATAAGGTGAAGGACGATGAAAATACCATGTGATCCTTAAGTCTCGCAAGGCAAGACAAAAATGAGTTCACTCACATGTTGTAATTCACTAATTCTTGCTCTTTCTTCCATGACAGCTTCTTCTACTTTCTGTAGTCTAGCATCTGTTACATAGTGATTCTCATCCATTTTTCTCTCCAACTTTTCCTACAAAATCAAATCCACAAAAAAGGTCAATTAAAGTACAAAGGATTTGAGATCAAATAAGCTAATATCTAATAATAAAATTTACAAAAATCTTTTGACATATTTTTGTGTGTGTGGTAAGAGTAAATGGACTAGAGTTATAATATGTTTTTACTGTAATGATTATCACTGTAACAATATAAAAGTTTTACCTTTTAACACTTTGGCCAAAAATGTTTTCTATTACTAATTTCAAATATGATGTTTAGTTTTGAATGGCCAAAAACCAAATCATACAAAAATTCATATTAATTTTTCTAATGTTCTAGAATAGTGATAAGTAACATTGTTCAAGTTTTAATCTTTTTATTGTTTTTGTAATTTTCACACTTTTCAATAACCATATGTATACATGGTAAAGACTAAGAGACAAATATTGCAAAAGCCAACATTTTTTTTAACCCAAAATAAAATCAATGAAAATAGGAGATGCTAAATGCCACTCAATTTTGAGTTGTTGATAAATAAATAAAATAAAAAAATTGACAAATAAAAATTTTCAGACAAAAATCCTGCCTTCACTGGCTACAAAGCAATGATAACAGTAAATGTCTAATGGCAAAATGGAATACTCTTTTAAGTTTATTCTAATAATTAAATAAATTAGAGGATGTACAAAACAATCACATGCTGAATAAAAAATCTATGAAAATTCCAAAGGAGAAGTTTTGATGGTTTCGAAGGAGTAGCAGAAAAAAGAGATGCTTATTAAATATGAAAAAAATATGTCCATGCTCTGCAATGCCTTTAAAAGCTTACTGAACAAAAAAATTTTAAGAGCCTGAATCACTCAACTGTCAATAAAATGCATATGTCTTGTATTGCTGATCATTTTTGTTGTTGGCAATCAGTTTCTACCTCTCTATAGCAGTCAATATAAAAGCAAAACTCGAAAAATTTGTTATTTAAGGGCAATAACTACTAAAAAATGTTTGTAGAATTTCTATTGCTGGTCATTTATGATGCTGTTTAGAGTTTCTACCTGTCTATCATAATTTTTTTAATAATAGGCAAAAACTCCAAAATAAGTCAATAAACTGTTAACACAGACATAAATCTTGCCTTTTTGTTATTTTGATGGAAAATTAAAATAGCAATACTATAACATGCAAGTTATGCAAAATATTCAAAGTCAATGAACCATGACTAAAGGTACAGGGCCAAACAATCTCCATAAAAAATACAACTGCATACAAAATATCATTGACATTGACCTATCAATAGTGGTTCCCTATAAACTGACCTTATCATAAACTTATACATCATATATTTGTAAACTTGATTGAGTGGGTAGGGCCAAATAATCTCCACCGATATGAGATGTACCAATGCTAATACAACTGCAAAACAAATATCATTGACCTACCACTTGTGGTTCCCCATAAATTGACCTAATCACTAACTAATACATGTAAACTAAGCAAAAGTTTCAAAGTCAATAGACCATGAACGAGGGGGTGGGGTCATATCATCTCCATGGAAATAAGATGTGCCAATGCTAAAACATTACTGTGCACCAAATATCATTGACCTTCCACTAGTGGTTCCCGATAAACTGACCTAATCACAAACTAATACATGTAAACTAAGCAAAAGTATTAAAGTCAATAGACCATGACTGAGGGGGTGGGGCCAAATAATCTCCATGGAAATGAAATGTGCCAATGCTGATACAACTGCATACTAAATATCATTGACCCACCACTAGTGGTTCCCCATAAACTGACCTAATCACAAACTTACACTTTTTATTGTTGACGCCACTGCCGGACACAGCATTATACAGTAACCTATGTCTCACTTTTTGACTTTGTCAAGGCGAGACAAAAGTCTTTATTTAAGGTAATTCATCTGATAATTTAAGTGGAAATAGAAAATAGGTTATTCTTGACATTCTGAGCTTTTTTTTTTTTTCTTTTCAAGTTTTTTTTATATCTACTATGGTTTTCAAGATATAAGACATTTAACGCATTTTACCCTTATGTACTATGTTTAGCCATCATGACCATGTTTGATTACTGACCAAAATAAAAAACACAAACTGTATACTAGATACCCTAGGATCATTCATCCCGAGTTTAATTGAAATTGGTTCAGTAGTATTAAAGAAGAAAATCTATGAAAAAGTTTACGACAACAGATGCGAAGTGATGGCAATAACTCTCTTGGTCCATTAGGTCAGGTAAGCTAAAAAGGGTAGGTGTACAATACTATCTAGTGCTTCAAAAGACTATAAAAGGTTAAAGGGAAATTAAACAGCTGTGAACAAACAGCACACATGTCAATTGGTATACAATCATAACATCATGGTGGTAGACTGGTAGCTAGTAATGGTATAAATAAGCACAAAAGTCCTGAAAATTCTTGTTACCATAATATCCTTCATCCTTCTTTATTGTGTCATCTCAAGAGAGACCAACCCTCTTACAACACAAGATTCCTTGTAAACTAAAGGTAAATTCTTTGTAATACACTACCTTTCACAAGATGCCATCCAAGACACAATTCCTCTGATGAGGTGTCCGATATACTGTAAGAACCCTAAAATATCTAACCTGAATAATAGGTTTAAATTCTTTGAGATCAAATCTCAAAAACTAAATATTGATCAATCAACCAAGAAAATAAAGTCAAGGTAAGGTAATCTTTTGTCAGACTGATATGTATACCTTACAAAAATTCTATTGACCAAATTTAGTTGACCTATTATTTAATGAACTTTAGGAAACTTACCTTATTACAAAAATTTAGTGTTGATGAATAAATCATGAAAATGAGGTCAAAGTCAAGTTAACTATATCAGATAGACATGCATAAAAAATATTGTTTGATAAAAATATAGTTGACCTTACCTATGGCACTTGAGAAACTAGAGAAAATGATATTTGACCTTAATCATAAAAGAGTAACATTTATTACTGTACCATGAAATTAGGTCGAAATCAATTTGTCTGACCAAAATACACAACTTACAAGGGACCCTATAGACCAAATGTAATTTACCTATCACTCATGATCAGTAAAAAGATTACAGAATAAAAAAAGCTCTAGTTTTTTGTGCCCTCATTAAAACCATGAAAATTAGATAACTTTTAATGGACTATATGCCAGACCTAAGCATAAGGCATTTGAATACAAGATACTAATACACACCCGCGACATCGTGTGTCCGTGACTGAATTAAAGTACATATATATATACACCTTATTTTTAGCCTGGATTTTTAGTATTTGTATTGTCATCTGATAAAGTCATGCTGATTATAAGGTGCACAGTTATCTCTGCTTTTAAAATCTTTCTGTTTGAACATGTTGTGGTTTGCGTACAACAACCATACTATACTAATTGGCTGTTAAATCTGACGTTTAATACCCAACCCAATTCCAACTTGTGTGACAGTGAGCGTGTAGATATTGCCATACTATACTATGTTCTGAAGATGATAAGTTAAACCATTGAGCTTGCAGCATCATAATTTCCTTTGGTGTATATAAACGTATTAATAAACTGTAATTAGTGAATACATGTTTTATATTTTATGATATTCAGATATAAAGCTTTATTAGCAGTGTTTTACTTTAATGTATATAAAGTACTTTTAATGTTAGAATAAATCAACTTTTATTATTGGTGGAGGACTACTCATCACATGTAAATGTAACGTTTTAAGCGTTAGGATACATTTACTTTTATTTTGGTGGAAGCTTACTCATCACATGAGGTGCTCATTCATTGGAGGAAGATTTGTTTTACAGTTACTGTTACAACCGGAAACTAAATATGATATATTCTATTGGTATCGGTATCAGATTCGTCCCAGAACTTGTTAATTATTGGTAATATTAATTATGTGGAAAACAAAAGGGCCTGGAATGGTGTAATTTCTAATCAACACCATTGTCCTATATTAGTTATATATAAGGTTGAATTCTTTGATTCATCGTTTTTACGTCATGCCGGCTAACAAATTGGACCTCATTATTTAAGTAGTATAGATATCCAGCTCTTTTTGCTTCTAAATATAAAGCTTTATACAAATTGTTTATGCTATCACAGAGGTAGAAGCATCCCTACGTCCAATCTGCTTAAATATCAGAATATAATTAGTTATCAAAGGTACCAGGATTATAATTTAGTACGCCAGACGAGCGTTTCGTCTACATAAGACTCATCAGTGACGCTCAGATCAAAATAGTTATAAAACCAAACAAGTACAAAGTTGAAGAGCATTGAGGACCCAAAATTCCAAAAAGTTGTGCCAAATACGGCTAAGATAATCTATTCCTGGGATAAGAAAATCCTTAGTTTTTCGAAATATTCAAAGTTTTGTAACAGGAAATTTATAAAAATGACCATATAATTGATATTCATGTCAACACCGAAGTGCTGACTACTGGGCTGGTGATACCCCTCGGGGACGAAACGTCAACCAGCAGTGGCATCGACCCAGTGGTGTAAATAGTTATCAAAGGTACCAGGATTATAATTTAGTATGCCAGACGCGCGTTTCGTCTACATAAGACTCATCAGTGACGCTCAGATCAAAATAGTTATAAAACCAAACAAGTACAAAGTTGAAGAGCATTGAGGACCCAAAATTCCAAAAAGTTGTGCCAAATACGGCTAAGGTAAGTATTTTTTCATTAATATATGTATTGGGTATATTGATAATGTTAAAAAGCCGAATGATCTAAGTAGTTCATCTACAGCTGTATCACTAGCCTGTCTACATTGAGGTTGTGAATTCAAACCATGCATGTGGCAGGTGCTTTTGACTCTTATCTTAATTGACTAGGATTTCAAAGGTAGGTGGATCTCTCTGGGCACTCCAGCTTCCTTCGCTAAAATAACAACTAGCCGCCACAAAAAAGCCAACGGTGATGAAAGTTGCATTAAACACCAAATAACCAATAATATAAAGAATCTATATCAATGATATTCAAATCTATGCGGAGGTGAAAAAAGGCTTCTTGTGACTTTGCCATAGTTTAAAAAGGGTTCTAACTTCTACACTAAACTTTAATATTCTTCATTCTTAACAAGGTATTGGGTCTTACAGCATAGGTAAATAGGGTAACTGAGGGCGGTAAAGCAATTTTTAGATTCTTAAATTTGATACACAAACCTGGTACTGACCACTCTCTCTGTACCTACTTTGTTCAACATCAAAGTTATAATTAATTGTGAACTGTGCATGAATAACATGCTCCAGTGCAAGTTACGAAACACATGCATATTTTACATAATAAACCATTCAGGTACCAACCAATCTTTTTCTCAGATAGTTAATTCTATTCAGATTGTAACAGTGGTTTTAAATCAAAATTGCCGCAATATGTATGTAAATTTACAGTCTCACAGATTTTTATCAAATTTTGCATTCATCTACAGCATGAGGAACTGCATATGAATGTTGAAAAAAAAATGTAAGTTTTATAATTTAGAATTGAATGCTATCTTTTTACAATTTTATTGGGGTGTAAAAGCAGTGACCGAAAAAGCAGTGACTGAAGCACATTTTGTAAGCTTCATACTAAAAATTAGCGCATGATCAATGTTTTAGATATAAAAGAGACTTTTCAATGATTGATTATAAAGAATAAAAGAATTTGGTGACCCTAAATAAGTTTTATATCATTAAAAAAGAAATATTCCTGAATTTACATACCATTTTTCAAGAAATATTTGTAGGACAGGTTTTTGAGACAAGGTCATTTGATCTAGGCAAAAGATTAATTTTTTTTGCAATATCTATGTGCATCTTATACATTTGCACTTCTTTCTAAAGAATATTCACTTTGCTTTATCTTCAAAAGTAAAAAGTTACTGAAATGAAATTGAGCACTAAGCCACAAATTGGTTAAAACATGAATGGTCATTATGTAATTAAATTACGGTACAGATATCGTAATGCTAACATTAAAATAATAGATACAAAAACATTGAAAAAGGAGTTTTAAAAAAGAAAGTAAAATAATATTTTTTTCAGAACAAATATAAAAGACAAAATGCACACCTAGATACTATTAGTATTAAAGTCACAACATGTTTAAAAGATCATACCTGAGATGGACACACACATAAAAGTTACCTGGCCATGCTGATTGTGTGTGCTTACTGGACAGGTGGGCTTCAAGGTGGGCTACATGCATGTAAAAGTTACAACTAAATAGTAAGGATGGTTAAATGTGTTAATGGTATACCCATTCTTTTGAGACAGGAGTGACAGTGATATCACAAACAAATATTTTAAAGCCAATTGGTGTTAATGACATTTAAGTATTGCACATTATGTTATATTATACTGGAATGAAATATCCCGACTAATCCTGCTATTTGATTGGTTACCATGACAAGGTATATGTGCCCATATATTATAATACCCATATACCCTGTGAACAAAAATGAAGTTCAAAATGTTTATTGATTTTGATATCTGTAAGGACACTCCAGTATAATATAATTGTATGGGCTCATATTCCCTTGCAGTGCTTTATATCCCCTTCGCCTGACAGCTTGGGAGATATAAAACACTGACAGGGAATATAAGCCCAAATCCCCTGTGAAGATCCCAAATAATATATAATGTATGGTGAAAATGCAATATTCTATAATTTCTACCTTAGCTTCCTTTCAAATATAGTCAAGTTAGTAAAATTAGTAATTTTTCTCACTTCCAAGATGATCTTTTCTGTTTTGCAGCCATAGCTAAAAGCTTAAGTAACTTGTTTGATGAATGAATTCTTCCAGGCATTAAATATAGACCATGGCGACACAATTCTTATATTGACCATAATTCCTATATATAAGATATAAGCAGTGGCAAATATCATTCCTGTATGACATTTTGTTTGTTTAATCTATTAGACAAAGTCTGACAAACATCATTGGCCTTTATCAATTTTGTTTTACCTGCTAAAGTGCACAATTTTAGATTAGCATCAAAACTTTTTTAAATGATAACCAGACCATTGATCTAAAATCTTACAATTAATGTGTCTTTAGCAGCTGATATTTTCTCAATATGTCCAAACAGTCGAGATTCCAATTTTTCCCTCTCTCCTTCCTGATGTGCTTGGAACTGGTTAATCATATTCTTCATATCATCCATTATACTTCGTGTCTTACTGTCTAATATGGACATCTGCTGACCAGTGTCACCCTCCAGATGCTGTAACTTCATTTTCTGCTCACTTGAGCTACGATCTAGCAAGTTGTTTACTTGTACAATCTACAACATTCAATCATCTAAATACAGATGCACTTCAATAAGCCAAATGATTAAATAACAAAATAGTTCATAGCATTTGAGATTTAAGTCATTCAAGAAATTACACTCCACAAATATAAAACATTTTATCATGGTCTATGAAAGGCATTTAAGATATTCATACTTTTGTGCTTATAAATACAATTCTGATAGTTTCATTCTTGAACTTATTATTTTTAGGTACAGCATTTTTCTCAATACAATGTTCTAAATGAAACCATTAAAATTCTCTGGCTAGGTTAAAAAGGTTTTTGGTAGGAGCCTTCATGAGCTTGATGTAAAGTGGCAGAATTTTCTCATTACTGATAGCATTACTGATATTTTAAAAGCAGTGCTCAGAATCTCATGGTTTGCAACTACAGTCCTCAGTAAACAAAATATATTAGAGAAATAACAATTTACCAAATGTCATGAGAGTACTATTAACAATATCCAAATGAGTTCTTAATGACAAACTCAGTTCAACTGAAAAATAAAATAACTCAAGATAAAATTATGAGATTATGTGTAACCTTTGATTCTAAGTTATGTATCCTATCCAATAATCTGTTTTGATTGTCCTGTTGTGTGCCACCTATTTGCTTTAAAGAATCTGTGCAGTTGCGTAGTTCTGAGGAAAGTTTAGCAATTGATGTGTCACATCTGACAATCCTTCCACGTAAATCTGTTAAAGATGCCACATGATGAACTTCAAGGTTTTTTACTGCAGAATTTGTACCTACTGCTGCATTATCTCTAACTCTTAACTGATCATCAAGTGACTGAAAGGAAAAGTAACATTTTAGAATCGTTTCTTTATTTTAAGCTTCCTTTCATTTACCGTGGTTACAAATTTTCGTGGATTGAATAAAACTTGCATTTTCGTGGATATTTGACTTCGTGATTTTCCAAATCTGCATATAAGTCTGTAGAAATTTGTATTCGTTAAATATCTAAATTCGTGGTTCATCATTACCTACGAAATCAACGAAAATTGGTATCCCATGAATAATAATGAATCTACAGTATTGTATGTTGAAAAATATGTTTTAACAGCAAACTTTAACAAATCTTTAAAATTTCTTTATATTTTGATTGACTTTGAAGTTGTCATGGTTAAAATAATTTCTGTATCATTGCTACAAAAAGATATTTCTGTTTTTGTCATGGCTGCTGGTGTCTTGGTCACGGCGGTTGTTCTCAATGTTTGAAACATTGCTTTAAATGAAGATAAAACTTTTGTGAAAGATGACTGCATGATTCAAATTATTTGAAATTTTCCAAAAAAGGAAAAATTAAATGAAAATGGATAAGAGCTTCTTATTAAATATATTTGAGAGAAAGCCTGAAAGTTTGGGGAATAAAGCATGATTATAACATTGACTACAATTCATATTATCATCATACAACATATGTCTGAATTTTTAATATGCTACCTATGTCTCCAACATGTCCTTCATTTGCTTAATCTATTTTTTTTTAGGAAAACAGTAAAATAATATATATTGCACTAAAAAATGAAAAGCTAGATTTTTGAGAAAAAAAAATTGAAGGATATTCTTCATGACTGGAGAGTTAAGGTAAGCAAAGATGAAACCAATCTTCCTTAATAAATCTTACTATGCATTATAAATCAGAAATAAATTATGTTATCTGGTTACAATACTTATAATTATACTTAAATGTAACACTTACTGCTATATCATTGTTTAGTTTATTAACTATAGCAGTAATTGTACGTATATGTTCTTGTAACATAGATCTTGCATGTTTCTCATCTTGCCAAGTTCCATGTGTAAAATTCAAACTATCAATCACATCTTCTTTAATTTTAAAAGCTCGATCCATAACTGTTGCTGTACTTCTCTCTTGCTGTGCTAACCTCTCTTCCAAAAGGTCCAACCTTGATGGACCACGACTATGATAGTCCCGTTGAGTTTGACCACCACTATTCTGTCCAAAAGGAACTATCTGATTTTGATCCTGGCTTTGCGGACTTCTTCGATAACGATTATTGCCATATTCTGGTTCATCTGTTGTGTCATAAGGTGCTCGTAATGCTGGTAATGTTCCTCTGTGAGTCATTCTGTACTGGTCAAATTATATCTGATTCTAAAAAACATATTTGAAATTAGAAAGTTTTCCTAATCTAATAAAGGAAATAGTCAATGTGTACAAATCAACATTTAAAATACTTTAAATCAAGAGTCACTGAGATTAATGTGTTAAATGGTAATAAAAAAGGTACATGTACATATGAATTGGCGACAGTTCATTTCATCTATCATCTAATTCATTAATGAGGTTACCAAGTTTTAGCAAGTGGCTCATGAAAATGTCCATTTGCATCATATTTGCATTATATATGTGGCCATTTCATGATAAAGAAAGATATATCAAAACCTTCTTCAAAGAACTGATATCTGACAGCTAAAGCTTTGCTTATATCATTAGTATTATTTGTCACTTCATTGATCAGGAAAAACTACATTTAACCCCCCCTTTTTACATATTGTGTTCTCTTTACTTAATATTTGTACACAATATTTTCCTGTTACTAAGATATTAAAAAACTTCAAATGTCCTTGTAAAATAAAAACCATTAATAGTACAAAAGATGCACAAAATGTTATGATGAAGAATATAAAAATACCAAAGATTATGTTTTCTTGCGCCTACTAAAGTTTATGAATAGTTTTACTTCTTTTTAATCAATTATTTCTATCAATTCTATTTACTTGATTACAAAATCTGAAATAAACTTACAATTTCTTTTCTAAACTGTTCATGGCCTTTGCATATAAAAACTATGACTTACGGTAAACTTAATTCTTTGAATACTAATATGACATTTCAAAAAGAAGAAACATTAGGTTTTCCAATAATAAATTTTAGTGCATCAGAGGCTCATATTAAGAGGTTTAAATGGGTTTTGCCAAGTGTCTGTTTACAAAATGGTTTAAGGTTTGAATGTTGTAATAAAAGCTGACAATTTACAATGTACCTGTTTTTTACTCAAATATGCTTTGCTTTAAGCATCCGAGGAGACAAAAGAGAATTATTCTGTATACATACACATTTGTTGATACCCTTTTATAAAATATTTACAAAAAAAGTTAATCTGGTGCTATGTTCAACATACATTTTCATCTCTTGAATGGCAAAAGCAAAAATATTGAATTTCTCTGAAATACACGAAAACTCAAGTATTTACAAAGAAAATTAAATCCATTGTTAAAAGGGAAAGTAATTACCATAATTTAATTACACTCTCAATATATAATTTAAAATTAAACTCCATGTAGCCCCATCTATAGTATCTTTGATTTCTATGACATTAAACTTTTCTATGGACTTTTGTTAGTAGTAAATAAACACATACGACTGAATATACCATAGTGTATTCAAATGATCATTTCATTATTTGCCTCATTTCAATGCTATTATTGAAAGTCATATACTACCAAACAGTGTTTAAAGCAACTCCTATTCATCCTGTTCTTCACATCTTTTAATGATTTTCTTCACTAAGGAAATTTGTTTGAAAATTTTATGTTTTTACTATGTATGGACAATTCTAAAATGTATCCATTTATAAAAATATGACCAATAAATTAATAAAAAAAAAAAAGAATTGTGTAAATCTGAAATTCAATTAGCCAGAAAACTTGTTTTAGCTTATTCGTACCCCTGAAGTTCCTCAATTTATACCAATGAGAAATATTCCCATATTATGGGTACTGCCTTGATCTGAATAATGTATATAGTTTAGTGGACAAAACTTGTTTCTAAGGATGTCACTTCTTATACTATTATAGATAATATCAACTTTTAATAATAAGATATGGATTTCTCAATGTAAAGTCAAAAAGTAAGTTCTGATTTTTTTTTAATAATCCTATATGAAATTATCTGAGTTATATACTTTTCCTCTAGAAAATATATGTTTTATAGAGAATATTTATGTACATTTGTCTCTGAAGAAATAATAAAATTACTATTCTGATTTTATATTTTTCTTTCACAAAAATATATCAGTTTTTTTATTTCTTACTTTGCATAAAAATTCAGGTTTTGATGAACTTCTGATCTAATCCTATAAGTATGTTGAGTAAAACTGATAGTAAAAATGAAACTGAATAACATTTTCTTTATTTACAATACTGTCCATTTAAATTAGTTAACTGAAATCATTGTCATGATGTTGCTTTGTTTCATTGTTATAGTCACTCAATCTTTCCTAAGTCAAAATTTAAAGAAAAAAACCAAAAAGATAAAAGCTCGATCAGGAAGAAGCCATAATTTACATCTTTGCCTTCCCTTTTCTTTACATGAAGGTATTGTAAAACCATACCATCTCACTCAATGGTGATTAGGCCACATGATGCAAGATAAAATTTCTTCCCCTATCCAACATACTTGTCTTGTTTTCAATATCAATTCAATGAATCAACATTTCTTACCTTCATTCCTGGTGTACCCACTTTGAAGAATCTACATACTGGCTATATTGTTTAATTTGTCCTCTTCATAAATATGAATGAATTGTTTGCCAAAATAGACTTTGATGGATTGGAAAGTGACTATTCTTCACATTAGACAGAATAATACAAGCCATTTCTTTTAATACTATTTAAAGATTTTCTGGTCTACCATTCACAGACAGACTTTTGTCTGCATTACATCAAGTGGCAAATATAAAAAAAAACAAGGATTTAAAATGCATATGATGTTGTTCATAGTACACCACAACTCAATATAAAACATTGATGAAAACTTTCATGCTCGATGCATTTAATTAGCTTGACTGAAAAAGTGTTTAAATATCTTAAAAAAATATACATACACATATTTGTGATTTATATTTCAGAAGAGCATCATATTGATTTCAAGACAAATTTTGTACATTTTGAACCTCCATATGTGTACAAATCTGACAAAAATTTTTGGTTCAAATTGTTAGAAACCAAATTAAAGCCTGCTTACATGTATGTGTAGAGTCATTAGAATCAACAATAAATCTAAATTAGATAATATACCTATATATGCACTTGACTCAATCTTTTAAAAATTGCTAAATATTTCTTAAATCCTAACAGAACATGCTCACTTTAAAAAGATATAAAGATTTCATACTGAGATGAAGAAAAATACTTATTTGTCTAATAACTTTAATGAAATCAACAATGTCATAGAATTTAATATAAAAGATTTAAATTACACTTTTTTCAGTTTGTGGATATGATCAGATATAATTAAAGAAATCTATTACCATAATTCTGAATGCAAATAGAAAATGGAAAGGAATATTTAATTTTTCAATAATAAAATATTAAACTGCTCTATTGATTTTTTAATTAGCAATCACAGAGTATATATTCTATCTTAATTGCATGTCTGAACTTGCCAATGCAGATAACTCAAAATACTTTAAAACCATTCAACTATAACATGGAAAATGAAAAAATCTTGGGTGCTTAGAAATGGAATATAAGTTTCTTTATTGATCCTAAAAACATTGTCAAGATGTGAACATTCTGTTCTCCCTAATTTTTGATTAACATGACCTTTAATCACAATCTACTCCCTTTTTTATAAAAGCATTTTTACTGATTTAAGCGATAATTTTACAAGTCAGAATATCTTTTTGTTTCAATAATCGAGACCGGTCAGAATGATAAACTATTTATAGAACAACATATTGCAATGATATAAGGCTTTGCTACATTTAATAAATAAATCACATTAATATGAACTGCTAACAATACTGCAAAGAATCTTTAAAATGTACTTTCAAAAGACTTAACAAAAACATGAATAAAGGATAAGTGGTGTATACATCAATGACAGCAAAAAGCAACACAAAAAAACAAAAATATTTGTATCACTAAAGCAACGTTAATATTTTGTTTTAGGTTATCAAAAACAGAAGGAATTTTATTAACACTTTACGAGGAGTGTTTGGGTAAAAAACCACAACATTTTAATCTACAAACAATCCATGATTAACTTACAAAATGTGTAATTTATGTTATATCTAACTGCATTACATATATAGTAAATTTTGATCAAATTACTAAATTTGTAATTTTTAACAAAACTAAGTTTTACCACAATTTTTCCCCAATTTAAAAAAATAAATTGAGAATATGTCCCATATGATGTCCATGCTATATCATGTTATAAAGGCACATACCGGTAACTAGAGAGCTGTAAAAGTGACGCCAACCAAATTCAAACTTAATGTTTTTTATGGTATTATACTTCATGTCAAAATGCCAGATTTTGATTGGTTAATACGAGGGTGTTAATTTACTCTATTCTATGGTAAATACTCTATTACCCTTCACGGAGATGCTTGATCAAGTGTGCGCTTTATTAAATACGACTCTATCCTATGGCAAATACTCTATTACCCTTCACGGAGACGCTTGATCAAGTGTGCGCTTTATTTAATACGGATGGTTGTTATGTACAAGATGTCATAGTTTATTACTTTGAATTTGAAATTAATCGACAGTAATAACAGAACATTCAGTTTAATAAATTAAATAACACATATCTGAGAGGGTGATAGAGCTGATTGTTACCCCTCAAAAAGACATTGTTAACCTTGGCTTCGCCTCAGTTGACAATGTTTTCTCGGGGTAACAATCTGCTCTATCACCCTCTCAGCTATGTGTTATTTATATAAAGTTTCATAACATTTGGTTGAGGCAAACTAAAGTTAGAGAAGGGAAACGAAAAATTTCAGCAATTTTTCCATATATAAAGGGACATAACTCCAGAACAGTATAAGTGATGCCATGCAAATTCAAACTTGATCTGTGTTTTGTGGTAATAAGGATTGTGTATAAGTTTCATAACATTCTGTTGAGACAAACTAAAGTTTTAGAGCGGAAACTAATTTTGGGATGTACGTACGAAAGTACAGACATACGTACAGACAAGGGTAACACTTAATTTCCCCTCTGCCGTGGTAGGGGCATTAAAACCAAGAGAGGTGATCTAGTGATCACAGATACCCCTGCTGGCAGCAACCTAATGAACATTATTTTATTAAGTGGTTTAAAACATTTCATCAATTTAAAAAAAGGTTTCTTTAATCACTATGCAGAAAAAATTACAATTACAGTTTTTTCCGATGCATTATGCAAACATAATTGACCTTAACCTGGGTTAAATGGTCCAAACGTTCCTTTTAAATTTCAGTCAATTTGAAAAAGTGGTTTTCCATATATTATCTGGAAACCAAAACATTTTGATTTTTTCTAACAATCAATAACCGTAACTATAAAATGGTAAGAGTGAAAAAGACGAAAATCAAATTTCATCTGTCTTTTGCCATTAAAAATTCAATTAATTTCAAAAAGTGGTTCTTTATTTATCAAATGGAAACCACAACATTTTGAATTTTTTTCCAACAGAGTACCATAACTCTGGAAAGAAAAAAGTTAAAACAACGAAAATACTATTTAAACTGTCTAAATCATTCCATTTAAATTTCAATTGATTTCAATTAGTGGTTCTATATTTATCACCTGTGGAAACCACAAATTTTGTCCACATTCAAGTACCATAACTATGGAATGGTAAAAGTGAAATGACAAAATTGAACTTAACCTGTCTAATAGTGGTCCAAAACATTCCATATAAATTCAATTACTGGTAATTTCAAAAAGTGGTTCTTTATCTATCATCTGGAAACCAAAAGTATTGCAGATGAACAGTCAAACAGGAGATTCCCATTTACCCCTACTCTGTCAAGCAGCTGTATCAAAATATATGCATATCTACATATGAAGCACAACAAAATTACAAAATTAATTTCTTGTCCTATTAAAAATTTTGAAGATTTGTATTCATGAAAAGTTTGGTTCAAAATTTCGCATTTTAGACTTATTGTATCAAATGACTGACAGAAACAAAATAACTGTTTAAAAAATCTCTGATGGTATATTTCAATGTTAACATATATACTCAGATGTTCTCTTTTTTTATTTTAGAAAAATTATACGACATGGCCAAAACAAATGTTGTCCTACCTAGAATTCGTGGTGGTAGACCACATGAAAGATCTTTTGACTTGGTGGAACAAGATTATAATGCCATACAAGTGGGTCCAGCTCGTAGAATTACTGTAGAAGACAATGATCGTTTAATTGTTAATCAAGGAGATGACAGCATACACCCACGACTCCATGCTTTGGAAGACAAAGTTACACAAGCCATAATTGCCCAAAATGTTGTCTTGAAAGAACAACAGAAGGTTACTGAAGCCATCAACCATCAACAGCAAATGACCCAAGCATTAATTGACAAAGCTTTCCAAAATCGTGAGGAGTTTCTTCATAATCTTAGTGAAATTCAAGGAGAGAGACTGGAGGATAGTACAAGACATTTACTCCAAGACCACATACGTTACATCACATCTATTGTCAAGCGTTTGAATCAGGATATTGAGGTATAGTAGACAAGCCTATAGAAAATTTGTACTTCGTTGAACATATAAATTTATGGTTTACATAAACCCACAAAATCCAATAAAATTGGTACCACACAAATAATAATGAATCAACCATTATCAAGGGATTGAATTGAGCTTCATGAAATCTTAAACCTACTATGATTGTGATCTCAAGATGCTAAATAGTCTGATTGTAAACCATTACTTAAAAAAAAAAGGTCAAACAACAACACTCTGGTCTAATGAATCTTTAAATGTATTAAATGCAGCTGAGTTATATGAAACAAAACTAATGAATGGACAGATGGACAAACAGACGAATGACAGACAAACAAACACAAAAGGTGATTGCTGTATCCAACTACAATCTGAGTTTTATATTTATCTATTTTACCCTTTTCAGTCAGTTTTGGGAGAATTTGACTAATGACTTCAACTGATTACATATGAAGACCCTTTCCAAATTCCAAGATTGGCTTAAGTACTAAATAAAGTTTTTTTTTTAGAATTTCCATCTTAGCACAATATCACACATAGTGCCTAGTTCCAAAACTGTCTAATACTTCTACTTATTTTAATATGGTTACTGTAGCTAACAGTTGAGCACGGATATAAAAAGGTACAGAGCCTGTGTTTGATAATATATGTTCGTGAAATGGTCTTACAATAGCTGCTGAAACTATAAAAGACAAGGGGTATTCATGATCATCAGTTCCATTTGCCTACTTAGTATTTACTTTTTTTTTGTTTCAAAGAAAATTAATTATTGAAATTGAATTTTAGTGTTGATCTATTAAGAGTCAATAACATTAAAATAAATTTATAACAGATATGTCTCCCCTGTTTGAAATTTTGATAGTATAATGCAAATGTTTTATTTAAAATGGCAACACTTATATAGCAAAACTTTCAAACTAATGGAACCATGACTGAGGGTGCAGGACAAAATAATCTCCTTGGAAATGAGATATACCAATTCTGATACAACTGTGAACCAAATATTATTGACTTCTCATTAGGTTTCCCTGGTGAACTGACCTAATCACAAACTTTAACATGTAAACTATGCAAAAGTTTGAAATTCAATGAACCATGACTAAGGGGAAGGAACTAAATATAAATGAGATGTGCTAATGCTATATAATACAACTGCATACCAAATATCATAGAATTACTTACCATCAATAATTCTCATTAAACTAACATCATCAAAAACTTTTAACAAATTATTGACACTGCCTTCACCAGAAGCAGGCTATGCCCAAGTCTTGCCTCGTCGAAGAAAACTAGAACTATTAGATCTAATGATCACAGACACCCCTGCCCACAGAAAAAAAAACTCTTAAAAGTTAAATACCAAAACCAAAATTCAAATTGAAAGTGACAAGCTGTATTTTATATTTTATAACATTTTGTTTAAAAAATCTTAAAAGAATTTGTCAAGTAGTACTTTCATTATCACCTGGAAACCATCTCATTAAAATTTGAAGGTAACTAAGTAAATGATAACTTCTATTATATGTAACCTAGAGTATAGGAACATTTGTTGAAAAATTTTTGCTGAATATCAAAGTTCTTCTAAGCTGACACTACTAATTCTCTTCAGCTTGTGGTATGTTGAAAATCTTTCAATCTCGTAAATGAAGACCTTTAAAACTCTTCACTTGAAAAAAAAGAAAAGCACTGTTCCTTTTATAACTGATCGTTTCCTAGTTTTTTCCTTGCTTTTAATATGGCCTCAGTTTGAAATCAGAAAAATATATATGAAACTGAATGTATTGTGACCTCTCATTAATTATTTTAAGGGTCTTGAAGCAGAGATAAGAGCAAGAGATCATGGAATCTTAGGAACTAATGCTGCTGTTGGAAAGTTAGAAGTTCATAATATAACATCATTACAAGACTTGAGGGGTCGTATTGTCAGATGTGATGCCAGTATTGCCAAGCATTCATCAGATATCAGGATATGTTTTGGTGACATACAGCGTGTTATAAATGATCAGTACAAGGCGCACACTGCAGTTCAAGAGGTCGTACATAAAATGGAATCACAAGTAAGTAACACAAATCTAGCAGAGCCGTGAGTGAGAAAGCTTTCATTTGGCTGCATACAATTTTCTAAGTTTTCATCCTATGAGCAAAACATTTATTACTTGTCTTATTGTCTTATACAAAATTTAATTACTTCTGGTTTACAGAATAGTGAACATTGCAGAGCAAAAACAACAAGCATTCTGAGAGTATTGCATGGCAATACTTAGTCCCCTACCGGGTAAACATTCATTATTCTGGAACAAAATGCTAACTTGTTCTATAACTTGTCGTGGTGTAAACAAAAAGAAAATATCAAGTCAATATCTTCAAGCATGACTAAAAACAGTGTGGAAAACTGAATATATGAGTGAATTTTTTCAAGTCTAAGGACCTTAACTCTGCACAAAATTATCAGACCGAAACAAAAATTTGAACTTGATCTGTAACTTGTCATGATAAAACTATTTACCAATTGTCAATCAATATATTCAAGCATGATGAAAAAAAGTGTAGAAAACCTATAACACTCTAACATTAGATATGATGTAATACAATGTATATCTATTTTCAAATTACAATCAAATATAATTAATAGTTCCAAATATTTTTTCTTTCATTTGTCACAAACTAATATAGATTTGTAACTTACCTATAAAATGTCAACAACTTTTATCTACACAATGTAATGTAATGAAATATATACCTTAGTTTATACAAAAGAACATATAAACCTGCGACAAAATTCCTCAAACAATTTACCAAAGAATGTCTTTAAAAAAATGAGTTATCTCCCTTTGTACAGATTATATGGTTTAACATAGAACTTGTCAGAGATAATGCTGATTTTAACCTATAGTAGAAGTTTTATAAAAATCTGGCAAGAATTGTACCCGTGAGAGCGCTAACAAGGCCATTTTTCCATAAATTTAATATTACCAAGGGGCATATCTCCTTTAAAAAAAGTCGATCCTGCACCATTATAGAACTTGTCCGAGATAATGCTGATATTAACCTATAGTATAAGTTTTATAAAAATCTGGCAAGAACTGTACCCATCTCTATGTCCTTCCATCCCCATTTAACGACAGGGCAACAAACAAACAGGATCAAATTATCAGTACCATAAATATAGTTGTCATCTAAAAGTTTGGATAGTGTTGAGAATTGTGTATTTTGTCTTAACTAAAGTTGGGATCTGGGAAGTGCAATGAAAACTTCATTTGTTTCTTTTGTCAGATAGTTAATTTGATTAGATTAGATGTCTTTACGTAATATTTTTTTCATCAGATTTTAGCACTAGCTAGTGAACTAGAGAAATTGGCAGGTATTAGCTCAAAAGATTTATTACACATGAAAAAAGATGCTAGACGTGATCTTGGTTTAGCAACTGAAAGAAATGAAAATTCTCTTAGAGATATAAAAAACGCCTTAACTCTGTACAAATCCAGTATGAGTGGCGATATAGACAGAATAGAAAATAGAATGTCTGCCATGGTGGAAAAAGCAACAAATACCTGGACACAAATGTTGGTAAGAGTAATACTGTATGTAGTAGTTCAATGGAATTGCACAAGAAAGCCTAAAATTTAGATCACAGAGGTTTAGCGTTAAGAAACACTAAATATAATAACCAACGACTTCATATCAATCTTAGTGTAATTCTGGAGAAAGGTTTGTCCCAGGAAGCTGTTTTTGTTCTGATTCCTATTTTCAAACTGGTACATAGACCAGAATATCTCCAATATTCAAATGATCAGTATTTCTATTAAGCACAATATTAAATTACCTCAATATCAACTTTTATCTAATTGTTAATGATAAATTCCATACATGATAAATATACATTCTACCACTGTATCCAGTGCAATACGATATCTATCCACTCTAACAGTTAAATTTTCAAATTTAAAATGCGAGGCTCGCCGAGTGGTTTAAATATTTAAAATTTAACTGTCGAGAGTGGATAAATATCGTATTGCACAAGATTTGGTGGTGGAATCTGTTTCTCTAGTGATATTTAAACGATATGCAGACAAACTCAATCCTTCTTTTCAAATGATCTGCAAAAAGATGTGTACTTTCTATGTAACGTCATCAGGCATGGTTGCCTTTTTTAATGACGTCACAATAGGAAATTTAGAAGAAAACTAGATTATTTGACGTCATAATCAAATTTTGACCAAGGAAGAACTGAGATCAAACGAACCACATTTTGATTAAATAAAAATAATCAACAGACCAAGAAAAGGATAAATAGTGAAAGAACTAGAGAAAGCTTTATATAGTGCAGACTTGCAGCAAAATGTAGCCATTTAGATCATCTATTCAAGTTTTATAAAAACCAGTACACCAGACCAGAAAATAAATACAGTGTATTACAATTATATTATAATACAGAACAAACATATGAATTTAATTTACAGCATAGTGTACATTTATATATCAACATCAACTATTCATAAATAAAAGAATTTGCACTTATTACCACCATCCATTATTCATAAATAAATCTATGAAAATCCAAAGTTTCTCTTACCACAATACAATAATTCTTCAAGAAAACTAGACAATATATATGAGAGATAAAAAAAAGTACATACATGTAGCTATTTGATTTGCCATAGAAATTGTCATCCACCATTAAAAATTGTAAGAAATAAACCATTTAAGCTCTGTTAAAACATCAATATATTAAAATTGTATTGGTTTATTTATCCAAGAATGTCCTGACAAACATAGCAGCATCTATTTATTCAATGTCATTTTTTCAGGGGAGCTAAAATCAAAATGAAACAACTGAAAATATATTTTTTGTCATAAGAAATCAACAGAAATCAAAAGTTCGTTCAAATAGTAACCAAGGAATTACAAAAAATAAATAAACTATAGAGCTCACCTGGATCTATGTGCATTAAAGTTTTGATTTTTGAAAATCATTTTTGTTGTTTACAGTTTCTCTTCATAACTGACTATTAACAGTTTTTGTCAAAAATTGCAAAAATGGGTAAAAATCATCATTGGTATTTAAAGTATCTCACTTTCTATTATAGTTTCAAGATAATAGACAAAAACTAAAACAAGAGGCACCAGAGAGCCTGTTTCACTCATCTGGTAAAAAAAATACTGTTATTTTGATATTTGTTTTACCTCTACTGCAATCAGTTATCTAGATCATATCAGGTGGCATTTATGTAGATCTTGTATACAACAGACAGATAGAAATTAATCAAAAATTGTCATTTAATGTTGACTTATTTGCTGAACATTTTTGCCTTTTAAATTTTCTCTAAATCTATCATAGTTTCTGCCAAAAAACTAAAATAAATTGGTAAAAATTGTCTTTCAATGGCAATAACTCCTATAAGGGGTCAATAACCAATTTCAGTCATGTTGACCAATCAATAGGTCTTACTTTGCTAAACATCTTTGCCATTTAAAGTTTATCTGTTTCTGTCATAGTTTCTCCAAAACACTAAATTTTTTGGTAAAAAATAAACATTTGAGGGCCATTACTGCTTTAAATTTAAAGGATTGATTGGAAATTTTTGTCATGTTAACTTATATCAGTAGATCTTACTTTGTTGGAAATTTTTGCCCCTATCTATCATAAGTTCTGCAAAAAACAAAAGAAAAATGGTAAAAATCGTCTTTCAAGGGTAATAACTCCTATAAGTGGTCATTTGACAATTTTGGTAATGACTTGTTAATAGGTCTCACTTTTCTACCACATATCCAAGTAAGGTTGCAATCCCATTTGTAGTATTGAATTTAGCATCCTGACATCACTTTCTGGCACAAATTTCAGTCTATTCATATAGTAACTTTGACCTTGACATTTGACCTTTGGCCTGGTGAGATCAAAATCAATATAGATCTTCCTTGAATTATATGTGACCATATGTCTAATTAAGGTTGCTGTCTCATATGTTGTATTTAATTAAGCATCTTGATTGGAAACCACTTTCTGCACAAATTTCAGTTTATTTATAGTAATGATGACCTTGACATTAAAATCAATAGGGATCATCCTCTCATTATATGTGATCATATATGGGGGCAGGGTTCTCACTAAGGCTACTCCATGAGTCCTGGACTCATGAAAATCTGTCAGGACTCACCATTTTCAAAACTGGTGAGTCCAAAGATGCATCAAGATTGAAATATTTTGTATAAACTGAACACAAATATCATCATTTTACAGCAAAAGTTTAAAAGAATTCTGAATTTAATGTCATTTCATTGCTCTATTAGGTCATGGAGACTAAAATGATTAATTATATTGCAATAAAATATCTTCTTACTGTTGGACTCACAATGACCAAAAATGATGAATCCCTGGACTCGCCTTCAAAAATCCTTAGTGAGTACCCTGTATTGCAAGTATGTTTGCAATCAGAAAGTACATGTATCACAATATTGGAGTTAGCTTTTGTAGACAAAAATAAATAACAGACGGACTGACTGACTGACGGGTCAAAAATAATATACTCCCCTCGCCTGCTACTTGGTAAAGTGGGTTATAAAAATATATTGTCTAGATGAATAATGATGAAAAATTAATCAAAATATTATTAACCTGTCTTTTGAAAAGGTAAAATTTGCATGTGCACACATATTCACAATAACTCAGCTCGTAAATTAAATGTAAAAAAATCTCACATTCCACCACTGTTGCAAATGGAACTTTTTTAGAAGGAAAGATGTAAAATATAAAGCAGGCAGGTTTTCAAACTTACTGGATCAGGACAAGGACATGTTTGTAATATGATTAATACTCTTACAGACTGGTCCCCATGTTCAAGACTAGCTCATGAAAAAGGTATGTCCACTGAAAGAGATGCTACTTCATCTAAAAAATAGTTCTGATTTACAGCTGACTAATCTTTGTTCTTCCTCCCAAAAGTTCTGTTTGGAAGAGTAGCAGCAAACTACCAGAAATGAAGTCTTAGGTTTGATCATACTTGAGAACGAAAACCATGTTTTTCAGCACTTAATAAGATCACAAAAAACTTGAAAGGACTACATTTGCTTTTAAATTAGTCTTGCTTTTATAAATTCTTACATTGTATACATGTATCTAAATTTTAAATTTTACGGTGATATATACATTTTTTCAAAGGGAAAATTAGAAAGTCGGTTGGAAGACAATGTTTTCTCTATACAAGGAAGATTAAGCAGGGTAGAATCAGCTGTAGCAAGAGACAGACAAATTATCAATAATTTACATGCGGTAGGTACATGTACATGACAATAAAATTCATTATCCTATAATACTAAACAGCATTTATAAACCAAAATAAAGAATGTGATATGGGGAAGATGGTCATAACAAAACATTAAATAAAGTACCAAGGAAAAATAATTAAAATTCACTTCGAACTTCTAAGTCTTAACCAACAAAAAATTCTAAAACCTCACTTTTGGTCAACAATTGAAAAGGTGAAGAAAAGTAGAAACTAAAAGTAAAACAATTCAAATGAGAAAACCAACTGGATGATTAATAACAAAACAATTAACAAAAAAATTATGAAAGATAAGATTCACCCACAACCACTGAATTACAGGCTCCTGACGTTGAATTGGGACAGACACATAAAAAATGTGACGGTGTTAAACAAGTTTATGAGTGCTTAACCCTTCATTTAACCTTGGACAGAAGTGCTCAACTTAAGACAGACAACACTGCAAAAAATATGTTGTAAATAGCATGATTTGCAAGAAGCATAAAAACAACCAACATAAAGACAAAAGGCACATAAAAAAAATAGCCTTTTAATAATTAAAGATTTGCAGATACGTACTTTATTTCTAATACATGTAATGGATATTTTGATATTATTTTCATACTGGTTCGGTTTAGAATAGTATCATGTCAAATTCTGCATATAGAGAATTAAATTTCCAAAATTTATTTGAATTTACACCCAATTTGACCCCAATTCCAAAAAGCCATCTCCTTACTTTGAATTATCTATATACTAGACATTCAATGTAAATGGTAACTATATTTCAAATATACTGTATTTCTAAGTGTCCAGATATTTGTAAGTTTTGTTAATGATTTTTTTTTCCTTCATAAACAAAAGGTAATTGAGAACACTGTACTATCTAAATTTGAGGATTACAGCAGATTTCATCAGGCAGAACTACAGACAGCTAAGAACGAGTTCCGTGAGGGATTCACATCAGTACATGACAGTATCAGTAATGCTAAACGTGTTGTTGAAGGCAAACTTAAACTGCAAGAGGATAAACTAAAAAAGGATGTGAACCAAGTTAGAAAACTAGTTGTACTCCACTGATGATGGTCTACAGAAAGTCTCAATTTAGGACAAAAGTTAATCATTAGAATTGTGAAACTTGCTGTATACAAGTTTTCAGGATCCTTTTTCTTTTCCTGCAAAAACATTCATTCAAATGTTCGTAAATGTTATACATTGTCAATATTGGATTATTTACAGTGTAAAATTATTTATTTTTATACATGTACATGTATGTTATTTAGTGTTTATTTGAATTTCTGATTATGTTCATGGTGATTGTGTTAACTTGCTTCAAAATTCAAATTTGACGGTAAAATTTTTAATTTGTTATTTGAATTGATGATTTAAAAATTTCCAGTCCATCTTAAGCCACCAATTTATTGTTTATAAAATTATGTCTTTTTTAAATACATCTGAGGAGGCATAATTGATTATGTACATTAACATGTAGTGACTAGCAAAATATATGAATTCATCACACTAATGGCTTTTTGGCAATTTGACACATATAGTTTGCTTAAAGGGGCATTAACTACGAGATATAGAAAAAATCAAATAAAATTTCTTTTTGTTCAATGATGAATGAAAGTGAAATGGTGATATAATAACTTGCTTTTGACAGTCAGTTTATTTCAGTTTTGCCAAAATAAGCAAAGAAACATCGCTTATGAATTATTCACTTGCAAGTGAATATTTCGACCTCCTTAAATCAGTATTGTGTGAACTTCTATTGAACCCCTTAGCTACAGCTGGATTACGCATGAACTAGGCGTGTTCAGCTTTTAAGAAGAAAAGAATGTCAACATTGGAAGTGAAACAAGGGTCAACCCATCTACAAAAACTAATTTTTATACAGGTATAAACGATTATTAACATGTTTTTTAAACCTATAACATGAAATCAAACAGACCTAGAAAAATCCAATTGCACGAGTTCCCTATCTATTTATATCTATGTTTATGTTTATATCAGGTGATATAACCATCGGCAGTCTTCGGTTCAATTCGGTGTACTTGAATTTGACAGCTAATGCCCCTTTAACTGCTTCATCTTAAATAATTACAAAACAGTTTTTCACCAGCTAATTGTAGTTTTTAAGATAATAGCTAAAAGTGCAAAAATTAGTAATAAGGGTCAATTGAGGGCAATGACTACCATTAGGAATTCTCTGCCGATTTTAGGGAAAATAGCATTGGAGGACATTTTAGCGCCAAAGTATAGCCCATTTAAGTGCCAGATTTCTTACCCATTTTAGCGAAAAGTGAAAATATCAATAGAAAAACAAAGGATATGGGGTATCCATCCATGACACAAGATCAGTACATGCACAGCAAAAAACACACAAAAAGCAAAGGAACAGCACTTTTATTGCAGTTCTGCATCTTTAAGGCCATCAACACAGAGCAAAAAAATCTCACCTCACTGCAATTTTAAGATGACCACAAGCACCGGCTTGAGCGGAAGCCCATTTCAGCGACAGATATTAATTCTTAGTAGAATGATACATTTTAATGGTATCAAGACAGCACAATATAAAAAAAATCATGCACATTAAAATACAGCACTTAAAGTTAAAAATAGGTATCTCAAATGTTTAATTGTCAATTCATGTCCCAGTAAACCTACATAACGGACTCTTGATATACCCCCTGTACAAATTTGTTCACAAAATTGTGACTAGATTGAAAAGCAGATTCATCTTATACTTCTTATTTTGATAAATGTTGTTGTTATTCGATAATATCATCCAGAAACGTAAATGACTGGGTGAAGTCAGCCATCACATGTCACACTTTTATTTCCTCTGTTTGTATACACAACACTTATTTCCATTATTAACCAATTGGAAATGCAAACAACTTAAACAATGAGTTAGCATAAATTGCTGTTCACAGTTTTAGTATGGTAAGTTTGTATTCAACCAGGTTAGTTTTTCGCTTAAAGGGGCTTTCAAAAATACAAGTAAACGGATTAATCCAATGCTAAAATGGGCTAAAATATCCCCTAGTAGTTTTAAATTTTTTTTGCTAAAATGTCCTGTGCCCAAAAATAGAGAGTGGGCATAACTTAATATTCTGAACATTTTTGCCTTGTTCAAGTTTTCTATCTTTTATGGTTTTTAAGATATGAGAAAAATTCTGACATTGATGACAGAAGAGGGTGACAGCTGAAGCCAAAGCCATATTGGCATGTGACCCTAAAATGTGAATGAGTTCAGACAGCACTATTCAAAACTGTCATTTCTATTTGTATCATGAATATTTGAATAAAAGATCAATTTCAGTTGCATAAATTAATATTAGTGGCCTTTGGCTGTTTTCTGCTCTTTGGTTGGGTTGTTGTCTCTTTGACACATTCCCTGCTTCCATTCTCAATTTTATCGCATGTCAGTCAACTTATGAGATTTGCATTGATAAAGTCACAAATGGATTACAACACTTCAAAATGGTAAGGAGAAGTGACTTCTCCCTGACAGGCCAATATGGAGAGGTCATTATTCAATTATTGAAAATTAAAAAGATGTGGTATATATGATTGCCAATGAGAAAACTCTCCACCAGAGACCAAATGTCGTAAAAATTAACAACTGTAGGTAACTGTACTGCCTTCAGCAATGAGCAAAACCCATACTGCATAGTAAGCTATAAAATGCCCTAAAATGACAAATGTAAAACAATTCAAACAAGATAACTTATGGTCAGATCTAAGCACAAAACAATAATGAAAATCGTCAATATCAAACTTGACCCCCATTTTGTCATCAGTAACAGTATATCAAAATTTTAAGAGCATTGGCTGAACGGTTCGTAAGTAATTACACGGAAACAACCTAAAGTGCTCATTTCCAATAAATTAAGGACCACATCTCCTGAATGACAACAAGAGTGCACACACTGAAAAGTCTTGCCTGCTTTACTGACCATTGATTTTATGTTGATAGTCCTAAATATAAAGTTTTACTAACAGTATCACATAAACTTAACATGATCCAAGAAAATGAGGTCAAGGTCAGATAAACCAAGCCAGAAATACATGTACACCTTACAATCATTCCATACACTGAATATAGTTGACCTATTGCTTCTAGTATACAAGAAACAGACCAAACCATGAAAACTTTATATTGACCAATGAACCATGAAAACAAGGTCAAGGTCAGATGAACCCTGCCAGTTAAACATGTACATCTTACAATCATTACATGGATCAAATATAGTTGACCTATTGCATATAGTATCTATGAATGAAACTTAAACAGGAAAACTTAATATTGACCAATGCACCATGAAAATGACGTCAAGGTCAGATGAACCCTATCAGACAGACATGTACATCTTATAATCATTTCATGGTTCAAAAATACCGGTAGTTGACCTATTGCATATAATATCTAAGAAACAAACTAAAACAGGAAAACTTAACATTGACCAATGAACCATGAAAATGAGGTCAAAGTCATATGATAACTGCCAGAGAGACATATACACCTAACAATCATTCCATACACCAAATATATTTGACCTATTGTTTATAGTTTAAAAAATACCAGACCAAAACACAAAAACCTTACATAGAGCAATGAACCATGAAAATGAGGTCATAGTCAAATAAAACCTGCCAGACTGACATGTACATCGTAAAATATTTCCATACACCAAATATAGTTGACCTATTGCATACAGTATTAGAAAAACAGACCAACATACAAAAACTTAAATTTAACCACTGAACCATGAAAATGAGGTCAAGGTCAGATGACACCTGCCAGTTGGACATGTACACCATACAATCATTCAATATACCTAATATAGTAAACCTATTGCTCATAGTATCTGAGATATGGACTTCACCACAAAACTTAACCTTGTTCACTGATCCATGAAATGAGGTCGAGGTCAAGTGGAAACTGTCTGACAGGCATAAGGACCTTGCAAGGTAGGCACATACCAAATATAGCTATCCTATTACTTTTAATAAGAGAGAAATTAACATTACAAAAAATCTTAACTTTTTTTCAAGTAGTCACTGAACCATGAAAATGAAGTCAAATTGAAATATGACAGATGGAAACCTCATAACATAAGGCATCTATATACAAAGTATGAAGCATCCATGTCTTCTACCTTCTGAAATATTAAGCTTTTAAGAAGTTAGGTAACGCCGCAGCTGCCAGATCACTATCCCTATGTCAAGCTTTCTGCGACAGAAGTCACAGGCTTGACAAAAATGAAAATCATCAATATCAAACTTGGCCACCATTTTGTCTTCAGTAACAGCATGTTAAAATGTAAAGAGCATTGGTTGAACGGTTGATATGTACATGTAATTGCATGGAAACCACATAAAGTGCCATTTTTCAATTTATCAAGAACCATAACTCCTGGACTACAAAAGTGAAAATCATCAATATCGAACTTAAACTCTATTTTTCATTAGTAACAACATAATAAAATTTGAAAAGCATTGGTCAAGTGGTTCATAGGTAACTGCATGATTACCACTTAAAGTCCCAATTTCCAATAGATCAAGGACCACAACTCATGAACTGTAAAAGTGAAAATGGTCAATATCAGACTCGACCTCCATTTTGTCATTAGTATCAACAAATTTGAAAAGCATTTGTTGAACAGTTCATAAGTTATTGCATGGAAACTGTTGGCAGCCACTAGCCCTTCGCCCAGTGCCTGCCGTACTTAACTAATTTACATTTTGTAATAACTGTTTTTTTTCCTTTGGAAACCCAGTTAAAAATTCAAGAGGGTATTGAACCATGCCAGCTTTAATTCAAGCATGTACATATACATAAACCAATTTCATTAATATTTGAATATGTGCATGGTGGTTAAACCATCAAGCACATGTACAACTGTTACCACAGTTTACATACATATACAGTTGGTATGAAATGGCATAACAGTAGGTTTTTTTTATACATGTATGGTACGAAAAGGCATGCATTAAGTTGGTCTCAAATGGTACAAACAATTGAAAACAAAGGTTGGTGTAAATGGTACAAATTGATGGCATACAAACTGGTTGAATATATGAATTAAAATTGCATACACAGTGACATCGGTGGTCTTGATGGTATGAAATGGCATCCTTATAAATGGTAAGAAATGTCATGCATATATTCAAAGTCCCCTACCAATGGGGGACCACTTTGATCCTTCTGTGGTAGCCTAGGGGTCATGGGTGAGCAGCTGAGACATCCAGTACCCCACCCTTTTAATATATTTTGAATAACAAAAACACATACCCATAGTCCCTATAAAAAAATTCATATATATTTTGTAAAAATATACCTATACATGTAGCTATCATGAATATGCTATTTCATGAATACAATTCAATACATGAAGATAAATAATTTTGACAAATATATATCTGATGTATATATACAAAAGTGGTTTTAATTGTATTTGTGAAAAAAAAATCAACATCTGATTAGTTACAAAGAATGTAGATACTTAATTCATTTAACAACCTTTGCTGTCATATTATATTTGTTCTTAATTTCCTGCCCTTATCATATATCATGAAGCTGGAAAGAATTTCCTATTTCAGCGGCTCATCCCGTTCTGGTACACAACAACTTGTACCTTTGCCAACTCGTTCTATTACCAACTCATACATTTACCAACATGTACCCATTTGTGTAGCATTATCATTTAATAAGATGAATTATTAATTTAATGATAATTTTGGATTTAATGATTGATCTTGTCTGAGAAATGTCTAGAATACATGTGTCTGATCTAGTGGAAAAAAAAATATGTTTTCTGACAAACATGATTTTGTTTGGAATGCAGCTTAAATCTTTTTAATTATAGAGTAATGAATTCATCCCTCATCAGTTTCCTCCCTTGTTGGTAAATGAATAAATACTGCACTTCATCTTCAGTTTGAAATCTGCAGATAATTTTGGAAAATTAAATTTTTTGACAGTTTTTTCATTGGGTGCACGGTGTGTTAATGAAAAATTTTCTGTTAGTTTTTCCCTCAGTGAGAACTTCACCATCTTTTGGATATCATAAGCAACACTATGAACCACATGAATTTAACAAATCCAAGTGTTTTTACATGTATATATTTGATATTTAACTGATGATAGTACAATGTAACAATACATTCAATGAATTTTCTTGAATTTAAAATGTCAAACTTATAATAATGCCATAGTTTTTCTTTTTATAGGGGAAAATAATGATTGAATTCGTAAAAGTATATATCAATTAACAGACTATCATATTTAAAGTGCCACATTTATTCAGAACTATATGCTCTTAAAAACCTCTCTATATGTTTTTTTTCTAATTTACCTCTAACTGATCAGTTTGTAGGTCCAACTAATCACTAATTAGTATAATTCAAATTAATATTTTAAATCAAGTTGTTTCATTTTTCTAATTAAAAAAATATCACATAATAGAAAACTATTTGAAATTGGTACAAGTTCGTAGAAATTGGAGTTGGTTAAAGTATGAGTTAGTAAACAAGCTTGATACAGGTCTGAATTTGGATTGTAATTAAATATTTGATATATTATAGGTTTCTGAATAAATGTAGACAAAGAACTTGAAATTGGTTATATGAAAGATTTCTTGCTGTTGTGCAATACACTGTGCTGTTGCTCAATACTTAGTAAATCTGTTGTCAGACTATAAACAAATAAAATCTTATAACTCTGAAATGTAAAATCGAAAATTTATAAAAATCAAAAGGGAGCTTACAAAAATATATATAAACAATTAACCAAAGTCTCATAAAAAACTCTGAAAGCATGTTTGAGTTATTGTCCGAAAACTGGAAAATCCCCCCTTTTTTAATGAATAAAACCCCAAAACTCGGAAACGGTAAATCCAAAATTTATATAAAACGAAAGGGAGCTCACATCAATAGATATGAACAATTCACAAAAGTTTCATGCAAATTGGTGAAATTGTTTTTGAGTTATTGTCCAAAAACTGGAAAATCCCCCCTTTTTTAATGAATAAAACCCCAAAACTCGGAAATGGTAAATCTGAAATTTATAAAAAAACGAAAGGGAGCTCACGTCAATAGATATAAACAATTCACCAAAGTTTCATGCATATTGGTTAAAGCATTTTTGAATTAATGTCCAACATGTTGACGACGGACGGACAGACGGTCAGTGGTATACCATAATACGCCCGTAAACGGGCGTATAAAAATGGGTAAGAGTTGACAAAGGTGATCAAAGGTAAAATTAAAATGGATTCATCCCTACCACTCATTACATACTATTATTGTTGTTGTTACCAATTATTTAAATCAATTGTATCTGATTTTATGCCCTTTATGGGCCCTGTAATTTGGGAAATAAAAATATTCTATTCTATTCTATGCATAGTAAGTGCTCCCTATGGTATGAATTGGTTTACAGATAGGTCTTCTAGAATTATTTTAATTATTCCAATGGAAGCCGTGATAATAAATAGGGATTTAATGATTCGGGACATATAAAACTTAAAAGGCTACTTTTACTTGGCAACGCACCAACAAGTGCTTTATTTTACACTTATGTTGCTACTAGAGGTCGATTCATCGAAAGATGTTGGACGTACTTTCTCGTTGTTAATTACTATTTCGGTGCCCAACATTTGTTATGCCTTTGGACAAGGCCAACGGTGTTATTTACCTGTTGCAGATACTTGAGAATCAATACACAGTCGCCATGTGTAAACAAATCGAAGCTACTGCCACCTGTTGTGAAATTCCTACAACTAGGTCAAATGAGGTCAAGAATCACCCACAATTCCCGCGAAAATTTACGTCCCGCCTTCATTTAACTACACAGGAACAGGAAAACGTTATTAAATGTTCTTTCATTTCTAATTGTAATGGATATGTATACGTGATTTAATGTGTGGCAGTGAAATTATAATTTAATACGTCCGAAAAACTATTCGCGTGGAAATTTAATGAGATTATAGAAGAAAATATAGTATATTCAGAAATATTGATCGCATTGTGATTTTTGTTGTTTATAAATTTTACACGACTTGAAAAGTTACAGGAAGTTCGAATAATATACAATAACTTTAATGACACATTAAAATATGTCAGCAGAAGCAGAAGATGGGGGACCAGCGTCTCCCCGTGCTAAATATGGATGTGAGTCAAGTACTAAACAATTTTTAAATTATTATATTGATATATGAAATTTGCACAGATGTATATATATACATGTATGCAAATTGTATTTTTAATTTCATTGATAACTAATTACAATCAGAGACATATAATACAAGAGATATTCGTCATTTTTCACTCCATATAAAACTAGGTATTTAAAAAAAAAAAAAATTGTGGGGTTTTGCAGTCCGATTTTAATCTTGAATTTGAAACTTAATTAATTGGCACCAAATAATACTAATAATTTGTCATAGGTTTATTTGGTTACTTTTTGTTCATGAAGTGTTTTCATTTTCTGATTATTTTTTTTCAGAAACTTGCCACATATTTCAACAAAATTGAATTATAAACCAAATATTTCTTGGTTGAAAGTAGTCCCAATAATTATGACGTCTTGCAAGGCTATTTTATTTTTTTTGCTTTGACGCCTTCCTAAGCAGGTTGAAAGGTGATAATTTCATGAAAATTGTAAAAGAAATAGAATAGTTTTTTTTTAACTTTACAGTCAGGTCGAAAGTGTTTCACACTTTAGAAATTACACTATCTATCTCATGTAAAAGAATATTCAAAGAAAAAAATTGTGAAGAGCTTATTTCTGTTCTGATTTTAATGAAATTTTTACCCTGTTTACGGATTAGCTTAAATGTTTGCAGCTTCTTTTAAGCTTCTTGGGATATATTTTTATGATGTCATTTATTTCGAAAATTAAATCATTATTTGAATATAAATAAATAAATATATTGAAATCTGTACCTTCTACAATGTATGTGCTTTACCTACAAATGTACTTATACTTTTTAGAGCAGAAATTTAGGGTTGTCTTTTAACTGAGTTCTCTCTCCAACCCCCAGAACACCCTCCCCTGGATCTGTCACTGATTTAACTTAACAGAGCCTAAATGAAGCAGATTTAAGCAACAAGTTATTTTAAGCACAAGTTTTAAAAACCTTGCAAGAAATTGCAGATATTTCTGTATTTTATGGTAAAAATTCCATTCAAATCAGACTTGTACATTTTGTAGTTGTTACATGTAAGTTCTATGTCATTTGGTCTCTGGTGGAGAGTTGTCTTATTGGCAATGATCATACCACATCTTCTTATTTTTATATATACATGTAAATTTTATGTTGCCTTACTTGTTACTTATTACAAATTTAAATGTAATCCAAGGTAATGTTTAATCGAGCATATTTTCTATAACATTTTACTTGTACATGTACATATGATTGAAAGCAATACATTACATATCACTTTTTGTCAAGTACATTGTACATGTACATGAAGTTAAGAATTACATTTCAATAATTTTTTAATTACATGTTCATTGTACATTAGAATATATTTGCTGTTAAATTTAATACATTTATGATTTCCTGTTTAATTTATCATTAGTTTAAATTTCAATTACACATACATATTGTAGTATCACTGTATGCACATGGTACTATTTTTATTGATACATGTATACTTCAAAAATATTAATTATGTTTAAGAAAACTAATACATACATTGTATTATTGCCAAACATTGCAAATTTTTATAACATAATGTATACTAATCTTCATTTACAGTTAATTCATTTATTGATTTCTTCACATTTGAAAAAAAAAATCAAAAGATTAAAAAACAATACAAATTTATAAAAATTTAGTTTGTAAATTTCTAACCTTTAACGATAATATAAGCATCAGGATATGTCCTAATTATTTAAAAAAAAGTAATATATTAACAAGTACATGTACATCAATGTCCAATATGTCAAATATATATTTGGTGTATTGAATGATTGTAAGGTATACATGTCCAACTGGCAGGTTTCATCTGACCTTGACCTTTTTATTATTGTTCATTGGACATTTGTGGTTTGGTCTATTTCTCAGATACTAAAAATGTACATGTATAAGCAATAGGGTCACTACATGTATGTTTGGTACGTGAAATGATCGTAAGGTCTGGTGTACTTGTCTGTCTGGCAGATTTCATATAACCAGTAAACCTTGACCTCATTGTCATGATTTATTGGTCAATGTTAAGTTTTCATTATTATTTCTGTATCTCAGATCTCTATGAAATTGTACCACAATGTTCCATACTTATAAAGGAAGTGGGTATTAATTTTGGGGGTTATGGCGCAAACTGTTTAGGAATTCAGGCCAAAAAACAAGGATTTTCTGGTTTCCGGACAATGACCTGACGCTCAAATTCAAGCTTAAATATGAAAAATCTATCAAATATGCCATAATATGTCACTTTTCAGATGGTTTTTGTCAAAAATGAAAGTGGCCGCATCCGTGTTCATTCTCAACCTTTATAAATGTTATGTATTATCATCAAATACAACTTACATTTAAATATTAAGAATGAACACAAATGCGGCCACTTCCATTTTAGACGGAAACCGTCTAAAAATTAACCAAAATGCTAAAATTTCGAAGATTTCAGTAATTTAGCATGACTTAATGATGCTAGTACCCAATACATGTGCATTGTATTGTCAAAAAAGCCTATATTTATGTAACAGAAGTATTCTTCTTTCCAATAAATAGCTAAAAATGTACAATTTAACAATTTTGTAAAACTGCTATATTTTGGGGCCAACTCTTACTGGGCCTACTCCTTTGTTGGCAACTCTTAGTCTTAACTTCCTTTTTGACATGAGTGATGTTAAATTTATCCCCGGCTTAGTATATTTCTAGGATTTTGATTGGATAACGCATGTCGTTACAAAACCCATAGCCCCTGGGTGTTGCTAACCCATATACCTGGACGTTGCTTTCCATTACCCCGGGGGACGTCACACGCGTTTTCCTTAGTTCCATGGTTGTTCTTTGTGAAATAAAGAACTCTGTAGATTATTCATGATGTCTGTAATTAAATATGTAATCCACTAACGATGTAATCTTATTTTGTCGATCATTTGCACTCATTTTAGTAAATGCATCACTTGGCTGCCACATTGTCTATGAATGGGACTACTGACCTAGCTATGCAAATGACCCACGTTGACGTCACACCGTCTATGATGTAACTCTCACAACATTGAGTGCCAAATTCAACCCACTCCAGTTTCTCCGTCTCCGTATTAAAAACATCTTATATTTGACTACTTGTAGGGTTCTACCAAAAGTACCCTACACCCCGTAAAAGATATGTCAAATTTCCAAATTTCAGAAAAAAAATTTTAGAAGATGAAAAAAACATTGCTTTCACGTTACACTTTGTGGTCGAATTTCTCTAATAGTCGACAGATTTGGACTAAGACTGGGGATAAATTCGTTATCTACGTTCATATCCGTAGATATGGATATTTTAACACCCTTCAGTACCCTGTACACCCTTTGGATTCACCTCAGGGTGTACTTGGATACTTCAGGATGTTAAAATATCCATATCTACGGATATGAACGTAGATAACTTATTATGCCCCCACCGTAGCGGATGGGGCATTAAGTTTTACCCTTGTCTGTCTATCTGTCCGTACGTACGTCTCAAAATTGGTTTCCGTTCTCTAACTTAAGTTTGCCTCAACCAAATGTTATGAAACTTATACTTAATGCTAATTACCACAAAACACAGATCAAGAACGTATTTGGGTTGCATCACTTTAACTGTTCTAGAGTTATGCTCCTTTACAAATGGAAAATGGAAAAATTGCTGAATTTTTCGTTTCCATTCTCTAACTTAAGTTTGCCTCAACCAAATGTTATGAAACTTATACACAATACTTATTACCTCAATACTCAGATCAAGTACAAATTTGGGTAGCGTCACTTTTACTGTTCTTCAGTTAAGTCCCTTTATAACTTTATATGATATGCAAAGGGGGGGGGGGGGGGGCATCATCTGTTTCCCATGGACACATAATTCCCCATTTATTTTTTGTTCATCATGATTCTTGAGAATATGATTGGAAATTATACACACAACTCTTCTAGTATTATTAAATTTTATTTAGATTTTACAATATTTTTTAGCAATTGATGTTGGGGGAGCTCACATGTCAGCTGATGAAATGGATGAGCTTAGGAAAAAGAATGTAGCATATGAATATTTATGTCATTTAGAAGAAGCAAAAGTGTAAGTACAAGATACATTTGTACTACATAACATATTTAATATTCAGATGTCATAATGAGTGAATATATTGTGTCTGTAAAATGCATACACAGTGTCATGGAGTTAAACTTTAACTTTAGCAAGTAAGCTCACTAGACGACTTCATCTAGGAGGCATTGTCCTTGAATGATAACATCTAGGAGGCATTGTCCTTAGATTTAAAAATTTTCCAATTTCTTTTCATTTTTGCCCTTTATTTTGAAACTATAATAGAAAGAAGGAGACTTTTACATTTTTCATAGCAAAAATGATCAGCAAGAGATTTCCAAATAAGTCAATATAGTGAAATTGTCAGTCAACTCTCATTGGAGTTCTTGCTCTTTAATGAAAATGTTTACCAATGTTTTGTGTTTTTGCCTATTCTCTTTAAAATTACAAAAGATAGATGCTTTAAACAGCAAAATTGACCAATAAAACAAGATCTGCAAATAGGGCAGCATATATGAAATTGTCAGTTGTATTCTTATAGGAGTAAATGCCCTTAATTGAGGAATTTTTACCCTTTTTTGTGATTTCGGCAAAAATCTATAGAAGATAGAAACTTAACTGGTCAGCAATACAAGAACAACAAAAAAGATATTTTACTCATAAATGATATTCTAGTCCACAATGCTGTAGTGTCCATTGTTGAAGGTGAGTGACACAGGCTCTTTAGAGCCTCTAGTTTATTCTATCCCCTGCTATTGTTTCTCACATGTCAATTTTGTTTTGCAACATGTCGATAAGATATTTGGTTACACAGGGGTGAAACTTAACTTTGTAAGGGCAGTAGCCAGCTGGGCTACTAGACTTGAAAATCAGTTAGCCCATAAAAAGGTTAGTAGCCCACTTTATTTCACCGGTGAAGCCCGGTTTTTGTAAACTGTTCAGTAAGTAGGAAACTAAAATCATTTTGAACTAATGTTATTTATTTGTGGTCGACGATATTCTACTTTCGTTTTTGACCTTCATTCTCTGGACACCACGTGGGCTTTGAAAAGGGAACTACAAAAGGTACTGTTTTCCAGATTCTTAACAACATTATATATTATACGTTCTTTTATTTGACTGATATTATTTCATAACATGCTATTGTCATCTTCTCTGAATTTCTTCGCTTTCTTGAAGCCAAAACCGAACAGGGTATTTGATCGTTTCATATTGTAAATGACCATCGGAATGTCTCTTGTTATCCTTGCAAACATACGATACTTTCCGGACTTTAAATAGACGACCAATCAGTGACCTGAATTAACGTGAACTATATTTAGTCAAAGGTAAACACTGATTTTACATCCTTGTTTATTGCGACCGCGACTTTGCGACATATCACTCTCGACACTTGCCTGTATACATTTTAAAAAGATTTTTTTGAATTTATTCTATTCTATTATATTTTTGTCAGTGAAGTAGCCGCCACTTGGAGCCACGGTAAACAGCGGATTTCCGTCTGTCGGGTAGTTTGTTTTCAATTCGCCACCTGGGCTACCACAACTGAATAAAAAGATCGCCCAGGTCAATTTCTGGTCGCAATGGGCGACTGGGCGACCGTTAAGTTTTCTTCCTGCTGGTATAAGATATCAAACAGTTGTACTCCTGGCTTTTGAAACTCAAACCGTACAACCAAACTCTTGTCCACAGGGGAGTTATATCCCTGTAAACTGTTTTTATTAGACCGCAAAAAAATTTTTGTGGTCGTATATTGGTATGACGTTGGCGTCGTCGTCGTCGTCGTTGTCGGCGTCGTCCAGCGTCGTCCGAAGACACATTGGTTTTCGCACTCTTACTTTAGTTTAAGTGAATGGATCTCTATGAAATTTTACCACAAGGTTCAATACCACAAAAGGAAGGTTGGGATTGATTTTGGGGGTTATGGTACCAACAGTAAAGGAATTAGGGGCCAACAAGGGGCCAAAAATAAGCATTTTTGTAACTTCCAGACATAACTTGTGTGTTAGTGTATGGATCTCTCTGACATTGTACCACAAGGTTCCATATCACAAAAGGAATGCTGCGATTGATTTTGGGGGTAATTGCCTCAAAATTTTAGGAATTGGGGGCCAAAAAAGGGGCAAAAAAACAAGCATTTTTCTAGTTTCATGACAATAACTTGTGTGTAAGTGTATGGATCTTTCTGAAATTGTACTACAAGGTTCCATATCTCAAAGGGAAAGCTGGAATTGAGTTTGGGGGTAATTGCCGAAACATTTAGGAATTGGGGGCCAAAAAGGGGCCAAAAAACACATTTTTCTAGTTTCCAGACAATAACTTGTGTTCAAGTGTATGGATCTCTCTGAAATTGTATTGCAAGGTACCATACCACAAAGGGAAGGCTGGGATTGATGATGGGGGTAATTGCCTCAATGTTTTAGGAATTAGGGGCCAAAAAGGGGCAAAAAACAAGCATTTTTCTAGTTTCAGGACAATAACTTGTGTGTAAGTGTATGGATCTTTCTGAAATTGTACTACAAGGTTTCATATCACAAAGGGAAAGCTGGGTTTGAGTTTGGGGGTAATTGCCCTAAATGTTTAGGAATTTAGGGCCAAAAAGGGGCCAAAAAACACATTTTTCTAGTTTCCAGACAATAACTTGTGTTCAAGTGTATGGATCTCTCTGAAATTGTACTGCAAGGTACCATACCACAAAGGGAAGGCTGGGATTGAGTTTGGGGGTGATGAATCATAAGGGGGTTAAAAAAATTTGGGGGGGGGGGGGGTTTCCTTTTTTTTTTCTTTTAAAATTTTCCATTTTAAGTTGGTTATTTCTGATTTATATTTAAAAGCAAATAATAATGATATGGTAGGAGATACACACCAAACAGGATGTGTAAATTATTATATAATAAGTATTGTGCAATAGCAAGAAATTTTCAATTGCACAGTATTGCACAATAGCAAGAAATCTTCAATTGCACAGTATTGCGCAATAGCAAGAAATCTTCAATTGCACAGTATTGCGCAATAGCAAGAAATATCCAATAGCACAATATTGCGCAATAGCAAGAAATTGTCAATTGTACAGTATTGCGCAATAGCAAGAAATATTTAATTGCACAGTATTGTGCAAAAGAAGATACTTCGTATAAATTGCTTATTTCTTGACCAATTTCAATGGGGTTTTATTCTTGACTTCTTGGGGTTCTTTAATATGCTGAATCTAACCGTGTATTAAGTTTTTGGATTTTGGGTCCCGTTTTTAAATTGGTCCACATTGAGGTCCAAAGGGTCCAAAATTAAACTTTGTTTGATTTCATCAAAAATTGAATAATGGGGTTCTTTGATATGCCGAATCTAACTGTGTATTTAGATTCTTAATTTTTGGTTCCGTTTTCAAATTGGTCTACATTAAGGTCCAAAGGGTCCAAAATTAAACTTAGTTTGATTTTAACAAAAATTGAATTCTTATAGGGTTCTTTGATATTCTGAATCTAAACATGTATTTAGATTTTTGATTATGGGACCAGTTTTCAAGTTGGTCCAAGTCGGGGTCCAAAATTAAACTTTGTTTGATTTCAACAAAAATTGAATATATGGGGTTCTTTGATATGCTGAATCTAACCATGTATTTAGATTTTTGATTTTTGGGCCCCGTTATCAACTTTGTCCACATTGAGGTCAAAAGGGTCCAAAATTAAACTTTGTTTGATTTCATCAAAAATTGAATTCTTGGGGTTCTTTGATATGCTGAATCTAACCATGTATTTAGATTTTGGATATTGGACCATAATAGGTGAATGTCCAATTTAAAATTTTTAAGTTCTTAGACCACATTCATTCTGTGTCAGAAACCTATGCTGTGTCAAATATTTAATCACAATCCAAATGCAAAGCTGTATCAAGCTTGAATGTTGTGTCCATACTTGCCCCAACTGTTCAGGGTTCGACCTTTCGACCTCTGCGGTCGTATCAAGCTGAGCCCTGTGGAGCATTTTATTCTTGTTATCATTTCTACTCCAGTGTTCCAGCTTGATCTTTTTCACAGGGTGGTCCGCACGCCCTTTTCCAACTGATGCCCTGTGCCCTTTTACCATTGTCTAATGAGAGACAATATATTTCTTACTAAGCAACTTGATTTAAAAAATGATAATTTCTTGCCTTTTTGTTAAACACGAACCAATTTGTAGATGAATCCGGATTCATTCAAAATTTATTATCCTCTTGTCACTTCCTGTTTTCATTTAGTTTAAAAATCGAAAGTAAACATGATCTATTCTTGATGAATTTAAAATATACTGTCATCTTAATTGTTTCAAGTTTATAAAAATGAATTCCAAATATTGATTTAAACGTTTTTTACAGGCATAATGATTATGCAGTGAAATAGTCGTTACAATTTCATTTCTGCTGTGATTCCTGGTTTTAAAAAAGAGGAACCAACTTTTTGTTGATCAGGAATGTCCAATGAAAATAACTGAAGTGAAATTGTGAACTAGATATCCAGATCCTTCTACTAATCTTCATATTTAAGCATCACATCAGTCAAATCATGCAATAACTGCCTACATTTGTAGCATGCCTAAAGCCTTCAAAGATCCTGGTCCTTGAAGGACTTGGGCATATGTATAGCTAGTAATATACGTCCTTGGTCCCTTACTGTTATCCAAAATAAGGTTGATTTTCATCTCGCGTAAAAGTGACTAATTATAAATAAAGCCCTCAAACTTTAGCTGAAACCCCTGCTATTTACATAATAAAAGAAAATGTTTGATGTGCCCATTTTGAATTATCAATCAGCGTGCTAAAGTGCCCTTTTCGTGATTGGCTCCCTGCCCTTTTCGTGTTTGGATCCCAGACCTTTTGAAATGCTAGCTGGAACACTGTACTCAGAAACACCAAAAGATATTGCTTAAATTTGTATTCTAAAATGATCATTACTTCCACAGGTGGATTTGTAAAATTTAGTTCCAAACGATCCGGTCCAAAGGTGTCGTCTTCTGTTACCTTTTACAAAAATCTTCTCCTCGGAAACTAGTGGGCAAGAA